TGTTAAACATGCCAACATAGAGGTATTTCAGCATCTATCCAGAGTTTCTTCACGGTAGTATCGGATGAGTTTGTGATCTGCCAAGAGTCAGGGATGAGATCAGATACTAAACCAAGGTTAAAATCGATTGGATATGGCATCAGATCGATGCTACCGACCCATGATTCAAGAGGATCATCAATATCCTCACCATATGAGCCAGGTGCTCCTCCCTTGATGACCAACATCGTTCCAGTTGAGCTGCGATCGAAACTAGTGGCCGTATCTTTACCAACCTGAGATGACAATGAGTTTGCCAAGTTAGCAGATTCACCAGTGCCTTCTGCGGTGATTGATTCGGCAAATGACATTGATAGACATGATTCCAATGATTGAGAACTTTGAGAGCTTGTGAATGAAGAAGAAACGGAATTGACCTGCTCCAAGGTTCCTCCAAACGTCGCCCACTTCTTGTAGTAGATACCGTACTTGCTGACAACCCTCTTCATTGACTCCTTATCAACAACACGCGAAATGTCATGCAAGAACTTTGGATGAAAGTTTGGTGTGATGCTGTCGTCCATTTGAATGGTGGAAATCTGACACTTGAATGTCGTTGTGGTGATTGATCCAGATGTCTTGTTTTCCAAATCCTTGGCATTGTTTACAGAGGTACTAGAGGACATTGCCAATGAAGACTTGGCATGGTCAATGAAGGGAATTCCACCAGACATTTGGGCATTGTCACTGACTCCGAGTGATGAAGACTTTGCGCGAGCCATTTGCGTAGCTGATGAGAATGATTGGCTATCAAGATGGTAGCTGCATTGGGGATTGACATGTCCACTAAAACCATGTGGAACGGTATAGACTGCACCTCTGAATTGATCCTGGATGGTGGTGAATGATTGAGATGGGCAATATCCAATAGCGAAGAGGGGGGCGGCATTATCTTCCAATAAAAATTTATTTATACATCTCGTTTTTATAATATATATTTATTTTTATAATATAAATTAATGAACAAAGATGTGTGAGTTGGCCAAATACTTGGATATTGTCACTAGACCTAATTGAATAGAACCATCAAGTTGACTTATCTCGATGAAGTCAACTAGGGAATATTCCAAGTGTAGTTCTTGGATGACAATGGATAAACTCCAAGTCGTCATTCAGTTTGATGAACTTATAGTTGGAACATTATGTATTGAACTTCATCTAAAAATACACTTTTCAAATTGGCGGGTTCATTTCAAATCTTCCACCTTCTAGAAGTCACATGACATAAGAAAGAGATAAAGTGTTCGAGATACAATACACTACTATATATATATAATACTTACATCATGAGTAATAATAATACAGTTGACACACCACCATTTATTGATGGATGTATAACAGAACCTGTATTAAAGGTTAAACACACCGACCCTCTAAAGGCTAGTGTAACATTGTTCAAGTTGAAGAAGGGTATCAACAGCATTGGTAGAGCATCAAACAACTTCATTCATCTAAAAGGAGAGATTGCAATCTCAAACTTCCATGCTTCAATAGGTATGTTTGATTGACAGATTGACAGATTGATTGATTGAATGAATGGCATGACTCACTCTATCATCAACAATGACAATGACACAGAGTATCAAGATAATTATATATCATTGATGGATCTAAATAGCAAGAATAAGACATTGTTGGCATTACGAAATAATGATCAAATGATTACACTTGTGCCAAACACAAAGTACTATCTGTTCAATGGTTCAAAGATACTGCTTGGTTCGACAGTGTCATCGATGCTCACGTTCACAATTACACCCAGACCAGAATCACAACCAACTTCCATTGATACTGATGTATTGGCAGCCAATTTTGCACCTGTTTCGCCAGCCAAACAGTCACCACCAAAGCCAGTGCTGCTGCCACCTCAATCTCAAACGATTATTCCTGAGCAGCAACAGCCACAGGCACAGCCACAGTCACAAAAGAGAAAGTTGGATGAGGAGGAGCAGTATGATGATGATGATGATGGCCCTCCCCCACCTCCATCAAGAACATCAGGTTTGGATCATGATCCTTTCTCTCATACTGCACACTCGAGCGACTCCACTGTGGACACATTTGTACATAAGAAACCAAAGACTGATCACACTCCTCCTGCTGTCACCGCTGTCCCCGCGGCAGCTCCTTCACCCGCTGTCTCTGCACCACAAGATATCACTTCAGTCAATAGTGATGATAATGTTGATGTCAATGTCAATAAGGAGCCATCACAACAGGCATCTACTTCACCACCCGTACAATCAATGGCAGCACAATCATCAATCGATTCATTGGAACATGATATAGACTCATACTTTACAACAACGACTACAACCGCAATGGCAGACGATCAAACTATTGTTGCACAAGATGGATCAGACAAGACGACAGGAATAGGAACAGACACGACCAAAGAGATGGTAGCAGAATCACAACCTGCATCCAAGCCTGTGTCCGTGGCACAGACAAAGTCACCCGAGGTAGAGGAGAAGGAGTCTAATGTGACAACATCTTCATCCCCACCACCACCTCCTCCAAACTCATCACCAACCTCAGTGCCTCAACCTCCTCCTCCTGCGCCTCAACAACAATCACCGCTGCCTCCAACAGAAGTTGTTCCTGAGGAGGAGTCTGACGAACAACAAGTCACCTCTCCTTCACCACCACAACCCCAACAACAACAAGAGCCTCCACAACAACAAGACACCGAGATGGATATGGATGAGCCAATTGAATCACCAATCCAATCCTCGCCACCATCCTCCAAACAATCAACTCCAACTCCAACACCAACATCGACAAAGAAAAAGACACCAGCAAAGAGGGCATCCAGGGCAACAAAGTCAACGCCAACAACACCGACAAAGAGCGAGGTCACTGATGACGATGGATCAGTTGTAGAGGATATTAGTGTGTTGGTCGATGCGCCTGTATCATCAAATGAGGAGCAACCAACAGAGACACCAAAGAAGGGTACACGTGCCGCTGCTTCTGCCAAGAAGACACCAGTCAAGGCGCCAAGTAAATCACCGGCAAAGAAGCGTGCGGCCAAGACCGCAGCCAAGACATCAGACGCTGAAGTAGACCAGTCCGCCATCTCCCCTCACAAACATCCAAAGATTATATTCTCAGGTGTCGAAGAGAAGACCATTAATGTATGTTATATAATTTATTGATTGATTGATTGACTGTCCACTGACTAACTCATTCAATCCAATACCAGACCTTGACAAAGATTGTACATAAGCTTGGAGGAGAGGTAGTTGATAATGTTGAGGAATGTACACATTTGATTAGTGACAAGTTGATTAGGACTGTAAAGATATTGTTGGCGATTGCTAATGGCAAGGAGATGGTCGGCATCCAATGGCTAAAGGATTGTGGCAAGGCAGGACACTTTTTGAAAGAGGATGAATATATGCTGAGTGATGCCAACGCAGAGAAAGAGTGGAAATTTGAACTTAGGCAATCACTGGAGCATGCGAGAAACATCATCAACAACAACAGTAATCTTAAGAAGCCATTGGATGGATTGTCATTCTTGGTGATGGAACATTCTGCTCCGCCCAAGGATGTCATTCAAGATTTGATCAAGGCTGGCGGCGGCCATGAAGTGGATGCGTCAGCCATCACTGCAGACAGTGACACCATCATTATAGCCAGTGAGAAGGATCGTCGACAGCTCAAGTCCTTCCTAGACATTGGTGCCACAGTCCATACTGGCGAACTACTCTTACTTGCAACACTTAGACAAAAGATAGACCTTAACGAATGTCGATTAAATATCCCATAAACGATTCGAATCGTTTCGTCATGATGGTGTGGGGTGGGGGGTTGTGAAGATTTGATTACTCCCAAGAAATCGAGCATAGTGTGATCATTCAATCATTCTTATTCTTCATTCATTGTATTATTACATACTACATATAATACTATTATAATATCAACAAACATAGAGGAGAATGGGAAAGAAGAAGAAGTCATCAAAGACATCAACTACAAATACACAGCCGCCGACGAACAATAATGAGAGTGATACTTCATCGCCAGCAGGCTTCAATCCTCTGGCAAACCTAACAGAGAAGCAACTCGATATGTTCAATCAGTTCAAAGATAAACTAAAGACATTGGATCTTACTGATAAAGAGGTAATGAATGATTGAATGATTGAATGATTGAATGTATGATTGAGGTGATTGAACTAACATTGCCAATGAATGGAACGCGTTTGAATAGAAAGCATGGATAACTGATATGATGGTGTTGAGATACTTGCGCGCTCGTGAATATGACTTGAATGCATCGTTCAATCTGTTGAAGGGTACATTGGAATGGAGGAAGTCTTATAAAGTTGACGAGATCACTGCCGAATATCTTAGCTATGAGGCATCCACTGGAAAACAATACTGCTATGGCAAGACCAAAGATGGTAAACCAGTTATATACATGCGTCCAGTGCGTGAGAACACAAAGAACTACGAGCGACAGATACAACTGTTGGTCTACACCTTGGAGGTATGCATGTCCGCCTTGTGCCGTCAATCATTCAATCAATTATTCAATCAATCACTAACATGAGAATGTACCTACCAGCGAGCAATTGAACAGATTGACAACTCAACAGAGACTGGTATTGAACAATTGGCTATATTGATCGACTTTAATGGCTACTCATTGTTCAATGCACCACCTTTGTCCGTTTCGAAACAGACATTGGAGATATTGTCGGACCACTATCCAGAGCGCCTGGGCACGGCATTTGTCGTCGACCCACCAATGATATTCAACATACTGTATAATGCCATCATGCCCTTTGTCAACCCGGTGACGGCCAAGAAGATTGTGTTTGTCAAGGGTGACAAACAGAAGCAAAAGACCTTTCCCCTTCACTTTGAGTTGGAACAGCTCGAGAGTCCGATGACTGGCACCAGCGACTTTGTCTACGATCACAACATCTTTTGGCGCAACGAGATCATCCAAGACAGAATCAAGCGATCACTTCCAGCATTGTCCGACGACGAGATGACTGCTGCATTGGAAATCAAGAACTAAGACTTGGATGACCTGTGTGAATGTGTGATTGAGTACGTGGAGCCAAGTATGCTTGCTCCTACTACCCATCAATCAATCAATCAATAATATACTACTTGTTCTCTCTTCCATTCCATCCACAAGATGCCACGCAAGTGTCTTATGGATGGTCGGGGACGAACAAGTTTGCTCGTGTTTGTGAAGGGGGTGAGGAACTTCAAACTTCAATTTCAGATAATACACCATATAACGGCCTAAAATGGGTTAGAATTCACACAATCACAACAAACGCCCCATCAATATTATATCAAACAAGCACCATTACGTGTTCATTAACAGTTATTTCCTCAACAACAACTACTCAATCTTATTTGTTCAAGCGCAAGACTAGTCTTAAGGGTACTTGTGAACAACAAAACAAACAAACATCCATCATTATCAACAACAATAATATAAGTAACAAAACAACAACAACAACAACAACAACAATGAACCTCAATAAACCAGGTAAACCAGGACAACCAGGTGGACAACCACCTCAACAACCACAAGCTGGTGGATACCCTACAGCCCCAGCTCCAGGTGGATACCCTCCACCTCAACATGGTTATCCTCCAGCCCCAGGAGGCTATCCACCACCACAACATGGAGGCTATCCACCAGCCCCAGCTCCAGGAGGCTATCCACCACAACAAGGCGGATATCCACCAGCTCCAGCTCCAGGCGGATACCCACCACAACAGGGAGGCTATCCTCCACAACAAGGTGGTTATCCTCCACCACAACAAGGTGGCTATCCACCTCAGCATGGAGGCTATCCACCACCCCAGCAAGGAGGCTATCCTCCACCTCAACAAGGCGGATACCCACCTGCACCATATCAAGGAGGTGGTTACCCACCTGCACCAGCACCGGGTGGATACCCACCCGCACCAGCACCTGGAGGCTATCCTCCCGCCCCAGGAGCACATGGAGCCGCACCAGCAGGTGGCTCGCGACTTGCACTGGCGCCACCCCCTGGCAGCAGGTTTGTCTCGGCGCCATTGTCACAGTTGAACATTCGAGTGATCTCTGCCAAGAACCTCGTTGCGGCGGATATCAATGGCAAGTCAGACCCTTACGTCAACATCAAGGTGCCATCGAGCACCAAGGTGCACAAGACCAAAGTGATACAGAAGAACTTGAATCCAACATGGAACGAATCATTCCAGGTGGAGATATCTAACTCGCAGTACGACACCGTGGTGATTGAGGTCTATGATAAGGATGCAGTGGGCTCGGATGATCTCATTGGTTACGTTCCAATCGACCCATCTCTTTTGCCAAAGGGCGTGGAGGTGACCACCTGGGAGCGTCTGTCCTACGTGCCACACGGTGAGGTTCAGCTTGCGATTACGGCCGTCAACTTTGGTTTGGAGGGCTTCCCACCAGCATACCCTGCTGCCTATGTCAACTGGCGTCAGACAGTGGCACCGACCGCCAGCAAGAAGGGATTGGAAAAGTCAAAGAAGTCAGACAAGAAGAAGAAGGATGCCAAGCATGGAGGCGGTGGCGGCGCTCATGGCAAGACCAAAGAGGTCGGACCATACAACCTCAAAGCAGTTCCACACGGATATAGTATAACCAATGGTTATGTAAAGAAGAATCCAAGTCTAGCGCAGACCACCGCCAAGACTGTCGAGTCTGGTCTAAAGTCATTCAAGAAGTTTGTAGACAAGCTGTAATAAAGTGTAATTCATGGAAAAGGTAACTTGTTGGGCGTGGGGGAGACAAATATGTCTTGTTTGAATCGCGCGCCACTTCATTCATTCATTCATCCATTCAATTATGCAACAAGGATTAGTTAGTATCTCAATCAAGTGGACGACCTCACATTCACGATCAATCATGCTAACAGATCATCATCAACATCAACAACACAATATTCAGTCAGGTACACAATGCGCCAAGTTGCTGGCTGCTTTGAACGTTGACATTGTACCGCTACCAAAGTCATCGTTTCATTATAGTACAATTGAGAAGTATATATCGATGGGATGTTCACATGATATAGCACAACAACAACATAGAGCTCAGATCAAATGTTTAGACGCATTCGAAGCGAAGCGACGTGTTGATCAATACAAGCACTTCCCAGATATATCAAACGAAGAACCCTCTGCCAAGCGACCACTCTATTGGCACGGTTGTCTAATCAGTAGCGTTGCAGCAAGACTCAAGAATGGTGTACAGAAGATGCACAACAAGTATACTCCATATCCTGCGAGTATGTGTCATACATTCAATTCAATGTGATCAATCAATCATACTAACTTTACATTACGTTACTAGTATCATTATGGGACAATGTAATTGGATGTACAGAGAGCATTGACATGCTGCGATTCAAGGATAACAAACCAAACATGGGCATATTGATGTTGTTCGAGGTTAACTACAAGGTGAAGAAGATACCCGTCTCCATTACAATTGATCCTGGCGTAAAGAATAGTGACTATCAATCAGCTGTTCAGAGATATGATGAGGACGAGGACACGGACGATGAGTCTCAGGTGGCTGCTCCACCACAAATCAAACTACAGGCACAGCAATCGGTGATTGACAAGCCCAAATATGTATATTGTAACGCGATCAAAGACAAGATAGAGCTCAATGAGATGATGCAAGTGACTGGAAAGTATTCCCCTGACCCTTCAGGCAATATTCAGTAAGTATCGATTCGATTGGAACACCATGACATTGTTAACCAACAACTATTGTCATTCATTCCAGAGAGGGAAACATATATGTACCACTTGGAAAGATGGTACCATCAACAGAGGTCAATCAGACTCATGGATGGCTAGATGGCCATCTAAAGGTATGGGACAACTACAATCAATATTTATTAAGCAATCATACTTTGGTATGTATTTCCAGTGATCAATCATTAATGGATTTAGATTTATGGATTGATTATTAATACTGTGTTCAACAGCTGAAGCTAAGGTACTTGGTTGTGGTTGAGGCAAGCCCAGCCAAGCACACTCCAAAGTTCACAACATCATCATCGGCATCGTCGTCATCTGGTCCATCAATCAATCAATCAACATCTTCACAATCTTCATTATCATCATCAACATCTAGACAAACTACAAACACAAACAAGAAACTGAATAATGATGATATTTGGTCAAAGACATTAGTGAAGAAAAGGAAAGGTGATGACAATGATGACAACGATGACACTGATGATGAATCATCATCATCGCCACGTGATACCAAAGATGACAATCCAAGGAAGAAACAAAGGAATTAATTTAAATATATATTTTCTTTTATTACATAATCATGGAAAGCTTGGAATCTGATCATTGTTTAACGGGTTGTGTTGTACTTCCTGGCGTAGTCGATCCAGGCATCCTTGCTTCCAAGGTACTTGTCATTCTTGACCTTGCAGTAATAGTCGTCGTAGTAGAACTTCTCGCAGCATGTGGCGCAGCCATCGTTGGCAAACTTATTAAGATACAGCACCATGACCAGCAGAGGAATGACGACCACGAGATGCACTAGGATGTTATGTATGTTGTGCTTGGTCCACTTGCGTCGGAGCGGTTCGATCTCGCCAACTGTGTTGGTGGTGGTCGTGGTGACACGATGGACATCCATCGCCACTCCATTTCCATAAGCGGTACCCATGTACTCGGATGTAGTACTCTGGGTGATACGGGCATTGGGTGGCAACAGCATGTTGATAACCAGGCACACAAAGGCAATGTAGGCCGAAGCAGTAATGGCCACGATCACCATCTTAAAGTCGACGGCGTTTGACGTTTTCTTTGACAATGAGCAATCACAACTGTCCAGCAGGGTCATGATCCACATCACTAGCAATACGGCTACGGCTCCATATCCCAGTCCATTCAAACTGCGAGACAGTGCCGAGAGTGTCGGTCTCTTTGGATCATATCTATAAACGAATGCTGTCATTTGATTGTCTTTGTTAAGGTTGTATAAATTTGGTTGATTGATTAATTGATATAGTAATAAATTGGAAGAATTGATTGATTGATTGATTGATAGTCAAGGTCTGAAATGATCGATCATTCTGAAAGGTCTTGTCTTATCCTTGTCCATTTCCCCAGAGGCGTAGATATGTGATATAAGGTGCGAAAAGTTTGAGATTGAGCGCCAAACGATGGCAGCGATTCGGATGGATTCTTTGTAACCGTGTGGTTGGTCTAGAGGCATGCCCAACCCCATCATGATCAAAACCCACCTGGGGTTGCTGATGGGAATTGAGTGACGTTTTTTTTCGTCTTCTAGCAAAAGGCATTCGATGAACATTCTAGTGTTCATCTCAATCACTCATGTACTCCACTAGACACCTGGATACGAAGTGTCACTCGTCGCGTGACATGTCTCCCATCAAGGTGTTTTATGTCTGTGTTGGCAATTACGTAATGTTTACTTTAAGTTGTTGGGCCTACTTCGATGAAATTGGACCGGATGATGGATATTGTAGATTGACTAATGCTGCAAGTGGGATGTGATCTGGTAGCCAGTCGGTCAATGCTGGTGGAGGCTGAAGCCAGGTCGATGTTCTTGATCTCCTCGATGCTCATCAAACGTTGCTGAATAGGTTGGAAGCTAAAGTTGTGGCTGTTGACACTGGCGCCATGCTGTTGCGACCTGACCTGATCAGCTGATTGTGTTCTCCTCTGTCGCAGCTTGACAAGAGTCTCTTCCACCTCTGGGCTCTTCACTGTTTTGCTGTTGGCCTGCTCGACCATTGCCAAAACGTCATCACTGAACATATTGTTGTCATTGATCGAACATTTGATAAATAATACAACTCTCTCGCGTGCAGTCAGTAGACCCATCAGTAGCTTTAGCAGGTCCTGGTTGATTGCTTGTCTGTCGATCAGGTCCTCGGCACTGTTGACATAGTCCAGCGCGAATTGGTTGTTCAGCAGGCCCTCCAACCTGAACTCCTCCAAGATGATTGCGTACAAATGTTGGTCCACCTCATGGGAGAACTCCAGGCCCATCAGGGGCAGCACCTTTTGTTGGAACATCTCAAAGGTCAATTGTGTCTTTGGTGGCACCAACACTTGCAGGTCGCTCAAATCTTGGGCCTGTTGCAGTGCCAAGTGATGCTCTTGTTGTTGCAGAAGAATATACAATGATGCAGCCAGTCGATATGTGATCTCGTTGCGCACTGATTGTTGATCCTGGTCATTGTTGTGAAGATGGTCCATTGCACCACCCAGGTCGCCATTACACATGAACGAGTGGAGTTGACAATTGAAGAGCATCTGGGCAAAGAGCTCGGGCTCCACGCTCGTGTTGGAGCGCTGCTTGATGCACTCAATGATGAATGTTGGATCCAATCGTCGTTCCAGCAGATAGTCGATGAAGAGGGCCAGTGTCTGGGGCAGCAGCCACTGCAGCTCGTTCTCCAACAGCGAGTGCAGCAGGTCTTTGGCCAGATCAAAGTGATGTGCGTGCAGTGCGCCTACGATCATGTCGTTCCACACGACAGGTGAGTAGGAGAACTGCTGCAGCGCTTCGGGCGGCAGTAGGTGATTAATCGTCAACTGTAAGTTCTCCTGAAGGGGACGACTTATCACGGCCGACGTGAGGAAGATGCCCAGCAGGGGGCTTGGCACCAGCGGCAGGAACGTCTCAAAGTACTCAACGGTCGACAACGAGCACTGGATAACTTGCGCGGCCTGTATGATGAGATCGCCAAATGGCAGCCGGTTGTTCTCAAAGTTGTATATGCATAGGTGGCTGATTACATGTCTCGCATTGTCGTATGTGTCATCTGTGCCAGGTGTCCACGTATCGATAAGTGACTGCAGCTTCATGTCCTCGGGTTGCATGTCGCCAAAGACCGAGCGCATCTGGCGGTTGGTTGTCTTGCGTCGCACTGCAGCCTGAAGCAGATCGCTCTCGATCGGGTTTTCAAAATGGCGCATGAGCGATGAGCTCTGGCGCAGGCGAATCGCCATGTCTGTCCAGTAGTTGATGCAGAGCAGGTGGCGTCTGGCGCGCAGCTGCGTGTCGCGGTGAGCATTCGACTCGTTGTGGATGTAGTGCTTGAGGTCGTGGTGGAAGAAGAAGCGCACCTTCTTGATCGAGGGCGCTTGGTTGTTTGTGTTGAGGTAGATCTTGAGCGCCACATGATACGTGTCTAGCCGCAGGAAGAACGAAATGAGGTAGTTTGTCGTGAGGCCTATCAGGTCCTCGTTGAAGTTCTTGAGCACGGCCATCTCGAGGAAGCGGGCGACATCTGCGCGTACGCTCAGCTGGCTGAGCAGGATGAGGTTGGCCATGATGGCCGGCGCCGCCATGCCCAGCGAGCTGGACAGGTCGGCCAGTGCCGTCTTGGTCGTGGACGGGCTGTCAATGATCGATACGACGATGAAGTGTATAATATCGACGCGTCGCAGTTTGCCCAACGCCAGATACATGTTGCCATTGAGATACATTGTCAGACACGATCGGAATGTGTCGCCATTAGCATCCAGACCCAGTTGATCAATCATATTGTACACCTCCAAGAATGTAGAGTCTATCGTGTACGAAGAGTAATGTTTCAGATACAAGTTGATCACATCTATCGTCATCTTTTGTGGACATGTCCTGGCCATATATTTGATTATATTCATTCTCTTGGCATCATCAACATCTCTATTATAGTTATCTTGATTGAATAGTGATGACTTCAAACTTTGATTGACAGATGTGATTGATTGATTGTGAGTATGTACACATTCATTCATTCATGAATAGACTTACAAGGTGATGATCTTGTTGGGATCACTCTCGTGAGTGATGTAGTCCTGTATGTTGAGTTCGAGTTTACTCGATGGTGTCGAGCTTATGTTGTTGTTGTTGGATCTCGTGATGTTCTTCTTCAGTTCAACATCACGTTTATCAAAGTGATCACCATCATCATGTTGATCATTATCAATATTAGTCTTGTTATTGTTGTTGTTGTTGTTGTTTCGATTGAATGTTATTGATCTCTTTGTGTTCTCTATTGATGATGGCGATAGGGACAGTGGAGTAGATGTGAAGCTTCTTCGTTGTCTTGATTGATTGAATGATGGACCACCTGATGGCCATGTTGGTCTAACCCAATACAGCCTATGCCAATGTTGTTGGAGCTGTATTGAATAGAGAGCTCTATTCATTCTCTCTATCTCTATCTCTATTCTCTAACTATCTCACAATTACTTGGTCAAGATCACGTAGTTCGACATCCTTCAAGTTTTATCATTCGAGGTGTGGATGACTTTGCAAAAAACGAAGAATCTTCAAGCCAAACAAACAAATAATTGCATATAAGTACAATCAAGGCTTTTTTGGACCTAAGTATATTCAATCATTCAATACCAACAATGTCATTATATGATTAGATCTGTCTTGAACTTGATTAAGTAATTAGGAACAATTTTAATCCCGATATCTATCCAACCATCCACGAGATCGTATTAATGTTTGTCAGTACGATTGGTCTCACCCACACAGGTTATGTATCTCGATCAAAAGGTGATTACCTACTTTGAAAACAAACAATTAATTAAAAAAGTTGATGATGTGTTTGGTTGTGGTTTGTGCCCACAACAGTTTGTGTGTGATTGATGGAGGGTGCATCGCCCCAAGGGTCACACAATCTTTTTCAAAAGGGTACAACCAAGGCAGATAAGGTTGAACGAAGAATGAATGAAAGAACCATGCACCATCCAATCAGGCCATTAACAATTAGGTCCATTATGAATAAGTAATAATAATAATATATACATTAAAGAGATAAATACAGATACATACAATCACTCATTCACACAGAGAGTTAGACAAAGAATTTGATTGATTGATTGAGACATAGAGAGAGAGAGAAAGAGCGGGGGTTATGACACTGACCTCAAAGATGACAACACGATCAATTATGATTAAGTTGTCAATTATTATATTATTGTTGATGACAACAATGTTTGCAAAGGATGCCCAGGCATTGGCATTGTTGGACCTAAACATTTGGAATGGATTGGCCCACGATCACAACTTCCTCACGGCACTCAACTGGGTCACGGCACTGGTACCATTGCTCATCTCCGAGTTGACGATCGGTGCCGACTATGCACAGCTGATTGCCAAACAATCCACGGTCAAGGAGTTGCAACTGTTGCAGGCTGCATCATTCATCGTGGCCCAGGGTGCACAATTCACCACAACCGTGCTGACTATCGATGGCACATCTTCCACCATCGTCACAAACGCAGGCCTCTCAGCCACCAGTCTAAATCTAAATGGTGTGATCACCCTCAACGTAGGCTCCACCATCTCCTCTTCCAATCTTATTGCTTCCGCCAATGCCCAAATACAAGTTAGTATGTACACCCCACATCCACTGGAATCATTCCAATCACTTACTAAATTAATCAATCAATCAATCAAATAGATGGTAGTTCTATTGTAACACTGAGTGGATCTTTCAATGACAACTCAACATTGATTGCCAAGGGAATTTCAAACACGTTCACGATCAATGCCCAGTGTAATTTTAATAATTTAGCCCAGCTGGTGCTGACTGGTCCTTCAATGAGCGCCAACGCAAACACAAAGTTGTACTTTGCCGACAACTCCAAGATCATGTTTGGTCCTGTCGGCCCCTCCGTAAGCATGCAGGGCGGCATCTACACCTTTAACAACAGCGCCCAGCTCACCGTGGCAACAGGAGGCAAGGTCGGCTTTCTAGGTGGGGTACTCACCACCTTCTACTTTTACGGCGCGTCACAGATGGCCATGAACGGTAGCAGCTTCAGGTGCCAGCCCAGCTCCCTACTCCACTTTGGGGAATCCTCATCGGTGAGGATGTCTGGCCTGTCTTCCATGTCGCTCGACCCTACTTCATACCTCAACTTTACGGCCAGCTCAGTGTTTGCGATGAATGAAAGCTCGGCTCTCAACATCAACACGAACATCGACCTGGACAACATAGCTCGCTTCACCATCGATTCATCGACGGTGACTATGTTGCCCAGCAGCTTACTAAAAGTCAAGGGCAACGCGTCTGTTGAGATCAGTGGTTCGGCATCATCACTCAATATCAAGTCTGCTGCGATTGCTACATTCTCAGCCAACTCGAGACTCGCTTCGTCAGGTGCCCCACTCGCCATTGATGGCCAAGTCAACTTCACCGACTCGTCCACATTCTCTGTCGCTGGCCTGGCGTCAGTCAGCTTGACAGGCACGCTCAAACTAGTCGACTCGGCACAGATGACAGTGGATACATCGTCCTTTGTGTATGTCAAGACTGGCGCATCCGTCAGCTTCACGGACAACGCAATCCTAAAGTCCAAGAATGGCGCGACCATCAGTATCAATGAAACCACAAGTTTCACGGGTGGTGCACAGTTGAGCCTCGAATCGAACTCCAACGTCGTCCTTATCTCGTCCGCATCTTCGCTCTCATTCAGTGGCAATGCCAGCCTCCAGCAAAGTGGCACTGGTGCCACACTGACAGTCCAGACCGGCGCCTCACTGGCACTCCTGGACAACTCGAACGTGGATCTGGCAGCCGGCGCATCGCTCGATGTTGAGGGCGGCCAGGCGACATTCGGCGCAGGCACTTCCATGCGTGTCCACAGCGCATCCCTGCGCGCAGGACTCGGTGGAAAGCTCTCATTTGCCAACTTCTCGTCATTGGTCATGGTACAGTCCACAATGGTCATTGACGGCCAACAGGTATTTGACGTCTCGGCCAAGTTGGATGTCAACTCGACGAAGGTCATCATCACAGGCAATGTAACACTCGACGCTGCGTCCTCATTCGTCGACTCTGAGCTTCACATCCTCGGACGTATCAACATCTCTGGCGTCATCAACATTCAGAACTCGTTGCTCAACATCACCAAGGGCGCGAGACTTGACCTCAACAGCCAGCTGCGCGGACGCAACCTCAAGCTGCACATCGAGGGAGACTTTGAAGCCAATCCCGACTTTGGTGACTTTGTCTGTGACGAGTGCGAGGTGCACGTAGACAACAAGGGCTGGGTGCGCTTCAACATGCACACGCACGCCAACCTCACCAACACTGTCGTCTACAACAACGCCAACATGTACCTGATGCCCCTGCATATGATCATCCCTCGAGGCAACAAGATCTACAATGCCGGTGTGCTGGACTACTGCACAGACATCCTGGTCACCAACAACTACTCGATCACCAACGACACTGAGCCCATTGTGATCAACACTGGCCGCTGGCTGTGTCGAACAGAGATGACCAACGTCCTCTACACACCCTTCAACAACACTGGCTCGCTCGAGATGTCGGCCGGCATTATCATATTCAACCGTCTCACGCAGACCAATGGCACGATCATGATGGATGGCGGAGTGTTCCACGCCAATCACACGGTCGAGATTGAGTCTGGCCTGCTCTATGGAGTCGGTCACATCTACGCATCAATCGAGAACAACGGCACGATTGGCACAGCGCACAATGTTACGAGCACGGACAACCTGACGATCAGTGGCGACTTGTACCACAATGGTGAGATGGTGATCAATGTTGTAACGCCCACCAACTACTCGGTGGTCAATGTGCAGAGTAATGTGGTCGTTGGCGACGACGCCACGCTCGTGCTCAAGATGTCATCGGGCCTCGAGCCCGGCACCAACGCCTCCGTGATGAACTATGCCTCGATCCAAGGCAAGTTCTCGTCGATACGCATCAAGTCATTCGACCCGGCCACGGGACAAGAGGAGGATGTCGACCCCTGTCGCTACCAGACCGATCAGGGCAAGACCAGTCTGTCGGTGTTGGTCAGTCCACAGGGTAGCTGTTCATCATCGGGCGGCTACAAACTGCCGATTGGAGCCATTATTGGAATTGTCATTGGATGTGTTGTGGTGACAGCTGTCATCATTGGTATTGCCTCGTACCGACTGAGGTTCCGACTAATGCTGCGACGTTCCTATTCCCAGAGATCATCCTCACATATCAATCTAAAGACCAGCAAACTTGGCAACTAAACCGACAGTCCATGTATTTTACTTTACTTTACTCTATCTATCCATTACTAATATTATTACATCGAATAAACAATGGAAGGTGAGTGTAAGTGTATAACTTACACTTCCTCCTTTAACTCTATTAAAGTCACGTGATCGGTTGGTAAAGTGGCCGCAGAGTGAATCAGTCAACGCTCACTCCCTATGATCATCTCCTGTCCATCTTAGCCAAGGCGATTGATACTTACGGGGAACAAAACACCCCCCTTTGTCGCATGTTGATGTACTTTTGTTGTTGGTATTCCGCGAACGTTGACCAATCAGAGAGAAATCCACTTTCGCTGAACAACCGAGAGTGAAGGAATAGTAAATCGGAAGAGCCTCCCATTCTATAGAGGCACATCTTTGATCCATTGAACTGAAACTTGATGCGTCGCCTGGCGAATGGAAGTGCCTTGTTCACTATAAATACGTCATTATGATCGATCATACCCAAATAGATTGTATCGAATTGGAAGGCTGCCTATGTGATAAAGTCGATTGAGGCCTTCTTTATCGTCTTGAGCAAAGGGGGCATCGCACCTGGATCCACCAGCTTTGGCTCATGAACTGACAACCTTGTCAAGCTATCTGGGAGTAGTCCTTTTGTGATTTGGAGGTCAAAGTAGTTAGGCTTGATGCACAGTGTCTGTACACCAAGGGGGATGATACCATGCTTGATTGGGTGTGAATCCATAAATATTAGAGTGGTGACCGATGATGGAATACATCCAGGAATGAGTGGCTCACTGACTCCCAAATAGAGATACGTGACCCCTGATGGGACCAGACCAGGCCACAGCCTGACGATAGGACCAAAGGTTAGGTGCGTCACGCTTGTTGGGATGCATCCACTGGACATACCTCGCACTGTATTGAGAGTGAGAGTCGTCACGCCATAAGGGATGGTGTTGGTGGCGCCTCGTGGAATACCTCGAATAGAGAGTGTTGTCAGTTTTGGAGGAAGGTCCACCTGAATCTTAGTGGTGCGCCGTTTGCCCTTTGTTGGACAGTTGCCGTCCCAAGATGGGACATCAAGTCTTCTCAAGAGTGGCAGACGTGATGAAGGAGGAATGTTGCCCTTGAATAATGTGTCAAGTGAGAGGCGCGTCAGTGATTGCGGGAGAAAGTGCTCATCGTCCAAATCATGATTGTACTTGGTTAAGATCAGGGTCTGCAGGGAGCGAGGGAGTGAAAGAAGCTTAGTTCTACAGACAAGGTCGAGATAGGTGAGTGATGGAGGGAGAGCTCCGGGTGGTATTGGCTCGACGCAGTTGGGGACTCTCAGGGTCAATGAGCAAAGTGATGATGGCAGGCATCCATGAGCGAGGGGCGAGTAAGAGAGTAAACAAATGTTGAGTGACTCGAGCTCATATACTTTGAGATCGGTCACCTGTTCGGGGATGGAGCCAACAGAGATGTGACAATTGGCATCGATGTGGAGTCTGGTGACAGAGTGTGGGATCATTCCCCTCTCCAAGTGTCCTACTCCATCTCTCTCGTCGATCTGTTGTTGATTGACTGTGGCGCTATGTATGGATTGGGACTTTGATGTGGAGAGAGTGAACCGATAGAGGGATGGACTCTGGCGATACCAGATAGGCATTGATGTCGTCATCATCATTGAAAGGTGAAGTGGACCTTCTGAGTTTGTAGTGTTGATTGATGTTCGCATCTATGTCATCGGCAAAGGTGAGATGCTCAACCCCATAGGGGATTGGAAAGTCTGGCCGCAGTCTATTATTGCAGAGCCAGAGAGCCTTGGTTTGGGGTGGAATCGCCTCAAATTGATTGGTCGAGTGTACCAGGTGCAGATTCTCTAACGTCACTAGGATGATTGTTAGTTCCGTGATTGTGATGATGAACATCACTAACACATACGAGGAGAGGAGGACACTGCTGATTTCATGAAGCATGTATAGTATGACTTCGTGCAGAAGAGATTGCGTTCATACATCCGCTTGTTCACGATTGGTGCGATGGTGCCGTCCTTCATGTTTGTTGAGAAGGACAGGTATTTGTCACGATCATCAAACAGTCTGCGACACGTCAATGACAGAAACAAACGGTCGGCGTCCTCCTCAATATGTATCACAATCCTCTGAAGGATTATATGTGAGAGGGTGTCCATTGTACATCTGTCTATTATTCTTTCGCTGGTATCTTTCAAACTATGGATTGAAACAAGATAATCAGTGGTCTCGTGATCAGAGGTCAAGTGATCGATCGGTCAGGTGACTTCATTTTCTGAAAATACAGTTAAAGAAGGAACGAAGAGATAGAGAAAGAGACAGAGATAGAGACAGAGGATGTATGGATATGATGTACAGTCACACTTGACCTACTTCATGCTGTTGGATGAGCTATACTTGTCGAAAGACCCGAGGTGGACACCAGTCAATGCTCAGACAGCACCAGTTGGAGACACTCTACAACAGACTATTAAGCTGTCTCGCGCCTCCACCTCTGCCACAGACATACCCCTACTTCTTACCAATCTTACACTCGAGTTCAACTCACCTACAACCTATATAAGATTACGTAATATCAATAACAACAACAACAACGAACTTGAAGGGGACATCACCTCACCCAACAACAATGAAGTGGAGACAACAGAGAAGGAAGAGGAGGAGAAGCATTTATTGCGATCAATACCATCAGGCTCAATCATTAGGAATGCAATCAGTGGATATCAGCTGATGATTGACAAGTTCAACCTGACAAGGAACTTGGCAAAGTCAAAGTACTTGGTGCCAACAATGTTGATTGAGAGAGGCCGCATCACTCAGTCGTTCCAGGTTGACCATTTTCAGCAAGAGACAGCGATGGTCACAAGTCGAGAGTCGGTGCCAATAGTTTGGTTCCTTAAGGACCCTCTAAAGAACAGAGGAGAGGGCATAGAGTTGTTCCATTCGGTGGACGAGTCACTCAAGCATTGCCTGCCGAACAAGAGATATATATTACAACGCGAGATTATCCCAATGCTATTCAATTCGTTCAAGTTCGACGTTCGCATCAACATTGCATTGGTATTCAACTCTGATGAGACGAAGCTATACATCTACAACGTAAGCATCCGGAGGAGAATGGATCAGGTGACAGGATCATGTGACAGGGTATCACGTGACATGACTGGCTGTCACGTGACCATGATCACGTGACTGGATTCACAGGACTAACGATCGATATCAAATACAACAACAACAGGAAGGCATAATGAGATGCACGGGAACCAAGTATGTCAGCGGCAGCGTGGAGAAGGGAGAGCAGTTCACCAACTTTTGCTTCCAACAAAAGTTGAACCCATCGTTTGGCAATATTGTCCCACTGGCTGACTGGGACACGGATGGCAGCCGTCTGGCAACGATGGAACAGGCAGTGGGCGAGATATTCGACCTGTTCCTGCCGCGACTCAATCAGCTGAGGCACAGCGGAGTGACCGTGTTTGGTCTGGACTTCATATTCGACAGCGATGGACATCCCTACCTACTGGAGATCAACAACTCACCATCGATGTTTGTACATAGTAACGAACGTGTGGCGTCCATATGCCGAAGGGCCATCGCACAGTTGCCAGCACTGGCGTTTGAGCCACTATTGGAAGGTGCCACTCCAATTGCCAAGGACTGGAAGTTGTTGAGGGACTACACCAACAGACATCGATGTACCAACACTGATTCAAATGATGATGGACAATCTGAAGACTTCAATCTATTTGATGATTTATAAAGTTGATTGAGCACTCACTCACGAGAGTATTACCACAACCAACATCATATCCGAACTTCTATAAAAAAATAAAAGTCGCAGTAGTCTCAGCAGTCGCAGTAGTCTCAGTAGTCGCAGCAGTCACAGCAGTCACAGCAGTCGCAGCAGTCACAGCAGTCGCAGCAATCACAGCAGTCACAGCAGTCACAGCAACAACCAAGACAACACAGAAATGGTGAACAATTAACACTTTTTGGGTACCATAAATAATAGTATTACAAACATAAACTTAGTTAGTGTCGTATTACTATGTTGAGTTAAATTTGGTGATGTCCAAAAAATGTTAAAGATTAATCATTTCTATATTGCCATAGATTGATGCCAACTGTTACTAATTCTTATCGTCTGAATCTGTATCTGTATAACAAAATGTTGAAAGATAAATGGTAGTTCTAGTTTAGCGAACTGCCAAAATCCTTCCAGGATTTTCGAAAGATTTTTTTTAATTTAAGTTTGATTAATGGAGGGTTACAGATGGTCCATCATGGCCTTGTTGAGAATTCATACATACTACTCACTTAGTTGAATATGCAATTACTATCACTTCCTATTTTAATATTTAGAATCATCGTCTCACATCTTGACGATGTTATTGACATTGTATGTTTTCTGTTCACAAGCAGAAAAATCTATCTTCGCCAAGAGAACATCGCCCCATCACTGAGACATCACTTTGGATATGTCTTCCCCCTGTCAACACTCATGAGAACCTCCTCAAAACGACTTAAGAACTTGAACTTACGAAGAACATTTAAACAACTAACGACGACAAGAAACAGTGTCGTTCCCAAACGAAATCCTCAATATCTCCGAATTGAATCATCAACCATCCCATTCCCACCAATTCCTTCGTCAGTCACGAGCGTGGCGCTTGTTTGCTATAATGAGCCTTTCGATCTTTGTACCAGTTCAATACCTTCGACTGTGACACACATAGAATGTGTAGCTTTCAACCAGCCTCTTCAAGTTGGACATATCCCACAGTCAGTGACTCAATTATCACTTTATTGTTTTAATCAACCTCTTCATGTTGGACATATCCCACAGTCAGTGATTCAATTGTCATTGGAGCGCTTCGATCAACCTCTTCAAGTTGGACATATCCCACAGTCTGTGATGGAATTGTCATTTGGGGGCCTTCAACCAGTCGCTACATATCGGACATATCCCGCAGTCAGTGACACGATTGTCATTAGGTCAGTTTGATCAACCTCTGCAAGTTGGAGATATCCCACAATCAGTGACACGATTATTACTTTATTTTTTCAATCACCCTCTTCAAGTTGGAATTATTCCACATTCAGTGACACAGCTCACATTGGAGATGTTTGACAAACCTCTTCAAGTTGGACACATTCCACAGTCAGTGACTCAGTTATCACTTGGTCTTTTCGATCAACCTCTTCAAGTTGGACACATTCCACAGACAGTGACACAGTTATCACTTGGTTATTTCGATCAACCTCTTCAAGTTGGACATATTCCACATTCAGTGACACAACTATCATTCGAAAGTTTTAATCAGCCACTACAATGTGGACATATCCCGCAGTCAGTGACCCAACTTTCATTTGAAAGTTTTAATCAACCTCTCCACATTGGACATTTACCACATTCAGTGACACGCTTAGCTTTTGGAGATGACTTTAACCAATGTCTCACAACAGAATACATTCCATCAGTCACATCACTATCTATTCCATGTGCTGAGTTCTCTCCAAAACATTTCAGTTTGCTCGACCATCAGTGTCTTGATGAACTGACTGTTGTCCATTTAGCCAATTACAGAGACTACAAGGAGAAGACATTTTCAAATGGTTCATTTCTGGATCGCAACACCCTCTCTCTTACCAAAATGATCACTATTTCACATTTAGTCATACAAGTTAAGCCGTACTACCGACTCAACGAATTAAGTGAAGGGTTACCATCAAATCTTATGGCTTTGCTGAGGTCTATCCCAACAATAACTCTTCAGTTCTTTCGCTCTGGCGCCAACGGAACAATACTGACAGACTTTAAAATTCACACCAGGTTAATTGATGAAACAGCCATACTCCTGGTACCAGTATCAAATGTAGATATGGATGGTGAAAGAGCTATATCATTTTTAATTAATAATAAATAATTAAGTGCAACGAAGGGCGAGGCCTTGATTCGTTGATAGTGTTCTTAAGCTCAGGACCATTCCGACCAAAGGGGAGCAAAGGAATATTGAGGGCAGAGTTATATAATTATAATTGTTCAAGTTGCTGGTAAGATTATGGCGACAAGTGATTGGGATATTGTATTTCATTGTGGCACCGAACTTTGTATCTTGTTTGTTCTACTGTTGAGGAGAGAAAATAAATCATACACACTCTGAATGAGTGTGGGTGGGAGTGTGGTTTCAGAATGATCAGCTGATCAGTGGATTGAGCCCCAACCCCACAAGATCAAATTGATGATCACTAATAATACAATCAGTCTTCCTTAATTATTGTTATAACTGTTTATCTTATCTTTATCTTTATTTAACATTGATCGATCAATCAATCAATCACATTCAATATGTCACAAACACCACCAGTGTCTAGTACACCAAAGCTATCTGCTACATTCAGAACATCCAGTTCTGGTCTTCTGATGGAGAAAAGACGTCAGGAACAAGAGTATGTCTCTCATTGATCACTCAGGAATAACACAATCTTACTAATATTCTCATTCCCCTCACTCAATCAATCACTCAATCAATCAGACATACAACAACAACTTCCACATCAACTGGAAGTGATCCAGTGGTCAATCATCTGACTTTGAGTGAGTACCTCTGATTCCAATCAATCATTCATTCATTCATTCAATCATTCAATCACTCGTCACTCACACATCATTCAAACATAGATGACTTGTCAAACCCACCAACTGATGAGGAATTGAAGAACTATAAGGACTTGCCATCCAACCAGTTGCCACCAATCCACAAGAGAGAGATGCTAAAGAGGATCTTTGTCAACCGTGATCTTAAGTTGGAGCGCATGGAGTTCTTTGGCTTTGACATGGACTACACGATCGCCGTGTACAACTCGCCAGACTTTGAGGAGCTGGCCTACAACATGGTGATCGACCGTCTCATCCAGCAGGGTTACCCCGCCTCGATCAAGAAGTTGAGGTACGACCCCGAGTTCCCCATCCGTGGCCTGTTCCTGGACAAGGAGCTGGGCAACCTGCTCAAGATCGACAGCTTTGGCAACATCACCATCTGTGTGCACGGAAAGCGCACGCTCAGCAAGAACGAGACGATCGAGTTCTATCCCAGCATGAGGGTCAACGCCGACGACATTGGCCGCAGGTTCTACCTGCTCAACACCCTGTTCACGCTGCCCGAGGCGTCGCTCTACAGCGACCTCGTGGAGTTCCTCGAGAAGGAGAGCGAGCTGGTCATCACCGAGGAGGTGGCCAACGAGCAGCAGCAGATGAACTCGCCGCCCCTCCACTCGCTGAGGAACCCCGCCTCCAAGGACGAGCACTCGATCCCCGTCGGCGACCTGTCCTACGCCAACCTGTTCCAGGATGTCCGCGAGGCCATGGACCTCGTGCACAACGATGGCAGTCTAAAGACCAAGGTGTTGGATGACATGCCCAGATACATCAAGAAGACCAACTGTCATGTATTCTTTGATCGTTTGAGACAAGACAAGAAGAAGGTGTTCCTCCTAACAAACAGCGAGTACTACTACACCAACAAGGTCATGTCCTATCTCCTCAATGACACCAATCCAAACTACAAGAGTTGGAGAGATTTCTTTGGTATGTGTTCATGGAATCACATCAATCGAACACTTTGGAATCATTCCAATCACTCCACCATCACTCATGAACCATTCCAATCCATCACACTCAATCACTCAATCACTCGCTCCCTGGAATAATTCCATACTAACCACTTCCCACTCACTATCAATCAATCAATCAATCAATAGACTTCATCATTGTTGGAGCGGATAAGCCAAGATTCTTCTCAGAGGGTACCACTATTAGAGAGGTGGACATTGCCACTGGCAACTTGAAGATCACTAATGTAAAGGACAGGTTCGAGCCTGGCAAGGTATACCATGGTGGTTCACTGTCCCTGGTTCAGAAGTTGACAGGTGTGAAGGGCAACCGCGTGTTGTACACTGGTGATCACATCTTTGCCGACATTATCAAGTCCAAGAAGACGCACGGTTGGAGGAACCTCCTGATCGTGCCCGAGTTGCAGCACGAGATCGAAGTGTTTGAGGAGCAGAAGCAGACCGTCAACCACTTGATGAACCTCGAGTTCATCAGAGCCGAGATCTACCGTGGTCTGGACTCTGAGTGCACGACACCACCCGACATCAATGTGTTGCACCAGCACATCAAGCAGGCGTCCAAGAAGTTGAACGATTCGTACAACAAGTACTTTGGCAGTTTGTTCAAGTCTGGCTCCAACTCAACATTCTTTGCCATGCAAGTTCAGCGCTATGCTGACCTCTACGCCAGTGACTACCTCAACCTCTTGAACTACCCTCTCTTCTACACCTTCAGTGCCAACACCTACGCCATGCCCCATGAGAACCTCACTGGTGCCTCAATCGATAAGATGGCAAACTAACTAATCCAACAACTACCCCATCTGGGCAATTCTGGAAAACTGGAATATCCTGGAAACACCAACTTAATATTATAACACAATAAATAAATATTTAATATTTATTAATGATGGTGTATTTACAAGATTGGATATATATATGTATATGTATTACGCGCGCTTGGATGGTTTGGGTTTGGATGATGATGGACCCAATAATAACTTGAGATTCTCGAGGAATCCACTGCGATGATGTGATTGAGCCTTCTTCTTGATCATGGATGAGTTGCTCAGTGGTGTCTTCAGGGTTGGTTGTACGGGTTGGAATCCATTCGGTACATTGACCTGAGGTGATGGATACCAATATTGGCCATTGGTCTGAACTTCACCAACACCCAAAGTGGCATTCTTGTTGCGATTGTAGAATCCATGCATCTTTCTAACATCGCTGAAAGTGAGATCATACTCTTTGGAATTGACCACTGATCTTGAAAATATATGATCGTACAATATTGTTCGGAACTGAGTCTCATTGAAGTAACTATGAGGTGAAATTGTAAAGTAGAGGTCTTCAGCGCCATCCTCACTAATAATAGGTGGTCTACCATCAGTTACAGGTCTATCGAATCCAATATATAAATCAATATCACTAACTGGTACTCCATAATATTGTTCAATCATATCATTCTTTGTTGGCACTATTCCGGAAATAAGTTAGTAATATGTTAAAATATATTATTATATTTTGGAATATGTTATACATACATTTGTTATGTTTGATATAATATTCAACTGAGAGTCGACCAATTACTTCGGTTGGTGAGGTGATACTGGTACCAAAGAGTAGGATGTGCTTGGTACGGTGTGCAGACTCGGTCATTAGCTTCTCCATCAATTTCTCCAAGTCTTGATCATTGTCAAATTGGCAAAACTCGCGCCATTCTCCATAAAATACTATACGGATACCCATTGATTCAAAGGCATCGCGGAGCTGCGAGTCCTTGGTAAGGCAATCCAGTCCCCAAAGATATTTGATAAACTTTGGATAGTACTCTGTACCACGCTTGGCAAGAGTAGGGAACCACATTGGATACAATACAGTATGAATACCATGATTCATCATCATTACAGTATGTTCCAACATCACCTTGAATGACTCTACGGAATATCCATCCCAATTAATTGATAATTTAGTATCATCTTCACTCTTATCTAAAAATATTTCATTATATTAGTATCATCTTTGTTATATTATTATTATTAATATACATACCAGAGTTTAAAACCTCTTTTATCAGATGACTCCTTCTTGTACCATCATAGGCGAACACTAATGATTTGGTTCCAGAACTCTGGACAATGTTGGATATCTCCGAAGTGGACAAATTATTAAATTGACTCATTATTTGGAGTAGTTATATATATATATATAAAGTAATTAAATAAATAAATATAAATATAAATATATATATTAATTAATTATTATATTTGTGTAGTAGTATAAATATTATTGAATTGAGTTTGTGATCGAACGAATTGATGGAAATAAGGAATAGTAATAGTAGTAGTAATAAGTGGTTGTAGTAGTACTCTTTGGTTATATTGAGATCGAAGTTGGATACAGGACAAATCTAGATGTAATGGCTTAAGGGCAGGCCTGTCCTTTAAAGTATCTATCGTAAATATAATAAAGTATGGTATATGTGTGTGTGGTGAATTGATTGTGTGATCGTGTGTGTGTGTGTGTGTGTGATATATATCTATGATTGATTGATTGGATTATAGATTGATTGAATGATTGACTTGATGTGGAATTGTGGTGACCTTCGGAAGAGTTGTTGTTTCAGTTGTCGGTCTAGTTGGAGAAATAGGGAGGTACAAGTATACACACAAACACTCACTCTCTCTCTTTGATCAACAAGAGTTATTTGTTACAAGGGTAATAATACTCTGAGAATAATAATAATGATGTGGTTTATTCCAAGAGACACTACCTGATACATGATGGTGTCGTGTCAATAGTTAGTGAGTGAGTGAGGAACAGCTTGGGGGAACAACAAACACTTTGTACATCGTTCCATTCGTCAGCTCCCTCTCTGAGTGCCTGGCATCCAAACCCCCAGACCAATGTGATCACCGTAGCTCACCAATTGGCCACCGGTGATCAAAGCTTCTTGTTGATGTTGCTGTTTGATGTGTTATGTATGGTGTGTGTGTGTGAGTTAGTCAACTCCCTGCCTCAATAAATCAATCAATCATACTACCATCCATTAATGAATTACAATTACTTCATCGTCCAATTAAGTTAAAGGTAGATAGATCAATTTGGCGACGGATTGGTAGTTGTCAAGACGCCTCCCCCAGGCCTCAGTTGGGCCAACTTTCCATTCAACCCCCACCCCAATCCTGAATTGGCAGCACTATCGTTTTGTGATCGAAAGAGTTTATTGATTTAGCACATTGGGGGTTGTTTGTTGTTGTTGATGATGATGTTTAGAAGTGCCTACTTATGTGTATGAGTGACTGATGGTTTACCAACGATCGTTCAAGATCAATCCAAGGTATATATTAAGGGCGAACATACATCGTTTTGATAATAAGGAGATCTATTATTGTTCTCCATAAAATCATCTCAACACTTTAGAAGCCTCTATCACCTGATCTGAGATATGAGATCGATGGTGATGACCCTTGATTGTTGAGAATAGGGGGAGTAAGCAGTAAATGGATCTCGCTGATCCAAGCCCCAAACAACAACTACATCAACCATGGTGTGCCCCTTGTTTTGTTTGAATGTTTGTTTGATTGATTGATTGATTGGTTGTTTGAACAAACATGTTTGAGATGGTAACTTGATGTTTATTTGACTGTTCACGTTCCAGACCAAGTACTGGAAGCGTCGTCCAGTCTGGATGCATAACCTTCCATGTTGATCATATCATTGATATGTATCGAGTCGAGTTCAGTGCGAGCTTGACAGACTGGCTCCCTCGACCGAGCGACTTATAAGGTTGCTATCGCCACACACACAAACAATAGAATGAACTTGGAAAGACATCCGGCTTCTAAAGTGGTGTTGAAATGGCTCAGAGAAGAGGCGCTGTTGCTGCTACTTCCTTGGCGGCCCGCTCTATCTTGGTCCTCGCTCGCTCCGATCTGTGGAACGGGAGTCGTTCTGTTGACCAACGGCAAGCCATCCTCCACGTCGATCGGCACTCTTGGGCTGCTACCACTATCGTCCGTTTGAATTGAAGTAGTTGTTTTCGTTGTTGTAGATGTAGTAGTGTTGTGGTTGTTGTTTGTGTTGTTCTTGTTCTTATCGATGATCGGCCCATTGTTCCACGTAGGCTTGACTCTCTCACGAGCATCAAGTTCATGCTCCTGTTGCTGTCGGAAGGGATAGTCGCGCTTCTCAAACTCTTCACGTCTGTTGCGGTCCAACTTCTCCAGATCCTCTTGTGCCTTGCCATATGGGTTGAGTTCTTCCTCTGGCGATAGCCATGGATAAGAAGGATGCACTACCACCATGAACTCCTTTGGTGTACCAGCCATATTAGTGCGACGAAGACCATACTTGTAACGACCTATTCTATTGAACACATGTGATGCTCTAGCACCTGGCTCGGCAAGCCTGTACAAAGCCTTCTCGTCAAATATGAAAACTTCATAAGTCTCGCTAGCTGTGTCTTTTGTGGCGGCGGTGGCTTCTGTGTCGCTCACATCCTTGGATTCTTTAGCTGTTGCTGCTTGCCATATTATCTTATCTCCTATTATTATATCTACTGGTGAAGCCACCTCCATCTTGCTGTCCCATGTCAACAACATTTCCTTTGATACATGTAGAGCGTTCACCATATCATGTTGCCGCGCCACAGTTAACAACAGTAGCAGTAGCAATATTATCCGCCCTGCCATCTGTATATTATATAATTGTACAAGTATCTTCATACTTCTTCCTCCTCCCACATAATAATATATTATATAAAGTTGATTGATGCGGTTGATTGATTGATTGAATGATTGAGTGTTCAGGTTAATGAATGAATGAATGAATGACCAGCAGTACTATAACCCATTAGTTATACGCTCACTCATTATATCATCAATGGCGACCATATTGATAGGATAATGATGAATGTATAATGGTGAGTAGAGTAATGATATGTGTTACCGCGGCTGTGGCGATACTTGTTTCCGTCCACACCTTGGTAGTAGTGTGGTGTGTGAGTTGGAAGTTGGAAAGTGAGTGGGCAACTATTACCGCCACACTCACACACACCTCAGGTGTTGTTGACGTCAATGACAATGCCAAAGCCAATGCCATTGATTATTATATATGTTAGTTGTAGTATATATGTATAATATATGTGTATTTACAATTATAATAATAAGTTAAGTTATGGTTGTAAGTTGTCTTGTTGTGTCAAAGCAACTGGACTCGAGTCAACAATAGGTAGTGGAACAGGGGCAGCACTGACCTCAAGCCATCTTGCAAGGTTTGTGGCATGGAAGCCCAATGACCTGAATAATGCCTGCGACTCGGTATTGTCGGTCTTGATGTAAAGGTATGGCTGCGCATCACCTTTCTCCAGCATTCTGATGAGTAAGTCTGCAACGACAGACTTGGCATAACCGCGTTTCCTATGCTCACTTGGCGTGAACAAGTTGCCAATGCTTCCGTCACTATATTGTATGATCCAGCTGACCATGTCCACTCCCACTCTCTTGCAGCTTGTCAAGCTGTGCTTAGTAGTCCACCTCATAAACTCCATAGACACTGCGCTTCTGTATGCCCAGTATGAGTCTGTTGGATCGTGTCCGTGTGAGTGGCGGGCGAGTGTGAGTACGGGTACGAAGTGTCGTTGTGTACTACCATCAAACTTACCAATGATACCAGCTTCCTCCTCTTGGATTTGACCTTCATTTCCCTCGACCATGGCCTTGAGCTGAGGCAATTTGCCGCGTAGTTCATCCAGGGTCATGGTCAACATGTCGAATATGTATTGACTCTCATCGACCACCAGACCTTGCCTCTTCAAGACCTGCTCGATAATGTCATACTCCACTATGCTCAATGAAGAGAATACAAGGAATGGTGTCTTGATGTCCATGTGCCTCCTCAATCCATTGTAGTTGAAGGGGTAGACGGTGTCGTCGAGCGGGATTGGAAGTGAGTCAATGTGATCGACGAGGAGGCCACGTGTCCAGTCGGTGAGGTTGACGTAGCTGGTGAAGCGCACCAGATCGTTGGTGTAGAGGCTCAGCTGACCTCTAATGACATCGATCATCAATATGATTGTTGGCTTGTTGAGACGGTCGACCATGTAGACAAAGTTACGGCCACCATTGACCGACACCTGTGTACGTATCCTGACCTCCTGTTCATAGCCAACGAGTTGTCCATCACGCAACAGATTGTTTGGTTCCTTCTCAAAGACCAATCTATCCACATAGGTCTCATCCATCAATTGTCTTTTACTCAACTGCTTAACAGGTACAGGTAACTGTATATTCTGTTGTTGTTGTTGTTGTAATTGCTGTTGTTGCATCATTATTATTATTGTAATTATACTCCTAATACTATATTGTATTGTAATGTAATGATATAACTCTATCTATCATATCAACTTTTTGAATGAATGAGTGAATGAATGAAGGGATGAAGGGACTCGACCGAAACCCTTTGATGTTTTTTTGCCTCAAAACAAAGATATTATTATTATTATCTTATCTTTTATTTTATTTATGATAATCTTATTAATCTTAATAACAATTACTTATTTAATTATAATTATTATTAAATATTTAATAATATAAGGTATTCGCCAAAGTATCTTATAACAACCAATAACCACAATACATGTATATAAGGATGGTGGATCGTGTCTGAATAATCGAGATAGATGATATGGCAAGGTGGAAGTGGCAAACTCGAAGAACTGTACACAATAACTAAGTGAGTGCACAATGGAAATTTGTTATGTTATTTTAGATATTAGTGTGTTTGTGTACATTGCCGACACTGGATTGTTTGTGTTTGAGATAATCCATTATTATGGGGTTGTCTTTAGCATGTTGGAAGGCCATCAACAAATACCTTTTTAGCCGATTATTTCCAAGTAGAAACTTCACAATGTTGAGATGTCCATACTGGCAGGCCGTGTACAGGAGTTCGTGTTGGTAGATCTCGTTTGGGTGTGTTTTGCAACAAAGGAAGATTATGCTAGCCAGGTCACCATGCTTGACAAACGGCTGTATGGGGAAGAAGAATGGATGGCAAATGAAAAGATGAAGGTACTTGAGAACTTCCAAAGACGCCCCACGGGGTGAATTATGATTGATTGGGTAAGAGGGCAGATGATTGTACTTTTGTGGATCGATCCGTCTTTGCCCTATGCACCTCTACAAGGTCAGCGACTTCCAACCCTACCGGATTGACTACTTGGTGAAAAAGGTATTCGCGAGTATGATCACGATTGCTTTCGGTTGCCTCGATGTGATGTGCACCAGCACCCGACCTGAGGTACTCTAGAAGTGGCTGGTTGCGCCGATAGCCAACCATGTACTCTCTGTCCAGTTTGATGGATGTGTGGTTGGTGCCTTCCAGAAAGAGAATGATGTCATTCCGATCGCATTCTGCTGCAAAGCTGATCGTCATGCGATGGAAGGGCTCTGTGCGCTGCTCATGAAGGAACTGGAGTAACTCTAATGCATCACCACGTTTGAGCCAGTTCATGCAGCCGCCTCTACCATTCCGTTGAAGGAGTTCATTGAAATGATATCCTTCTGAGCGATGGATATGGAGGAAATCAATGACTTGGCGATGTCCATTCACGATTGCTTGGCTCATTGCCAAGGTGGTACAGCCTTCGGTGCGCTGCTCGTGTAGAAATTTTACGACATGGAGATGGCCGTTGCCTGCTGCCTCATCCATGGCGCGGCATGATGTTCTGTACATGGGAAATGTGTCGTGTAGATACTGAACAACCGCAAGGTGTCCAGCGCTCGCCGCTTCCTCCAAACAGATAGCGGTGGGTGGCATGTGGAGAGAAAGAAAATGTATGATGTCCAGATTACCGCGCTTGGCTGCTATATCCATACAGATTTGATTGTACGGAAGTGAAAAGGCGTTGTGTAGGTACTCTAGCGTGCGGATGTCCTGAGCAAGCATGGCATCCTGTGTGAAGTTTGCGACGCCTCTCTCCTCGACCAAGCGCCGAAGAACAGGCACCGGGTATTGGTGCGCTAACAGGTCCATGTGGTCGATAATGTTACCAGTTAGTGGGCGATTCTGATCCAAGTAGTGCGCCACTACTATGTGTCCATTTGAAAGTGTTTTTTGCATTGTATCCCTCTTACAGCTTTCCAATCTATTTTTGTCCAGAAAGATAACGACGTCATAGTGGCCATTGGTGGCTGCAGCGTGCATTGCCTCGCTTGTACAGCTATATCCCTTATTGTGGAGTAGAATGACATTTTTAGACGGCCATGCGCCGCTGCTACATCGATGACTGGATTCCGCGTATTGGGAGCCCAGCTGCTAACAAGAAGCTCCAGTAATTCGTAATCTTGACATTTGGCAGCCTCTTGGAAAGCAGCCAATGTGAATCCCTCCTTGTTGACTCTCTGGTGGAAGAGAAATTTGGCAATGTGATAATGTCCGTTCTTGACGAGCATGTTGTTGGTGCTGAACAAACCACGTTCGTTATCGGGATGCTGATTGAGTAGCTCGATTATTGAAATATGACCATGTTTGCAGGCTATATCAGCCAGACCAACCAAACGATGATCAATATTGGTAAAATGGCATTTGCTATTGGCAGGATATTTGGTAACTGTATTGGGTGGGGGTGGGGTTGGTTGGTTTGGATTGTACGAAGACATAGGTTTAGGTTCATACATACTGTCTGGAATAAAGTCCCTATGAAAGTTGATAAGATCGATGTTTTGAGGCTCGGCATTAATGCGACGGGACAAGTACTCCGTATAACCAAAGTATGACAGCAACTTGAACGAGTTGTGCATCATGCACCACTTGTGTATTCGAACCATGTTGAAGAAGTTAAGTCTAATCAATTGCTGGTGAATCCATATTATATGATAAAATACATTCTTTAAGATGATTTTGTTATTTAATAAACAAAAGAACAATCGTGTTCTTGTATTCATGTCGTATTGTTTGTTGCTTAAGTTTAAGTTATTCTCATCACAACAATGACGGTCTTGTCATTGGAAGTTAGAAAAATTAAAAATTAAATTAAATTGGTTATTTGTCAGATCATCAATCACATCACGCAAATCTGAAACCCATAAATTTAAAAATAGGTAATTTGAAAAACCGAACGAATGTTTGAAGTATGCATTGAGTGTGATGATTGTTTGAGATTGTTAACTCTATTCTAAACAAGATATATATACAGTTAGATAGATAGATACAATGGGAAAGATAACAGGAAATAAGAAGATATATAGAGTTGACCCTTTGGGCACATCATCAGAAGACAACAACAACAACAACAACATTGATGAAGAAATACCAATAAATGCAAACATCGAAGACGATGAAACTGGAACTATATTATATAACCAAGTGATCAGTCAGTCTATCAATGTTGGTGACGATCCCCAACGACTGCTCACAATGATCGACGATCAGAATGTCAACCAACGCGACATTGCCTTCCGCATGTTGTGTGAGCTGATCGCCGACGACACTGGCAACTTCAACACAAAGACTTTGATGCAGCCGGACAACTTGACCAAGGTGATCAGACGTGTGGTCGACCCTGAGCCCCAAGTAGCCGCATTGGCCATGGGTGCACTTCGCAACCTGACCATCACCACCGAGGCATCAGTCGAGATGCTTCTCTCATTGGACGTGCTCACGCCACTCCTCGCCAACTTTGACAAGTCACTCGCACTTCTCATCTCTATCCCCGGCAACAAGTACCGCGCCAAGGAAGGCCTCTTAGGTCAACACATCCTACTCCAATCATTGGCACTATTGACCAACCTTTGGTAAGTTGGAACTATTCCATGATTGGTCCACTCGATCACTAACTCACTTAAACACTCAAACACATAGTGAGTTGTCAGACAAAGCATTCGAGTTGATCACAAAGGCAATGAATAACTTTAGTAAGTTGTTCAATATATTGATCGCTCATGGTGAGTTCTTGCCAGAGTTGGTTTTCTTTGTTGGCGAGTTCCTCTCGATCATCACAGAGGACAACCCAACATTGTGTTTGACTGTAGGCAACGAGCTGTTGATGCAGCTGTTCCAATGTGTCAGTGGCCAATCCACCATGTCGATCAAGCTCAAGTCACTCATCTCGATCACGTTGCTCAACATTGGTTCACATTACAATCGTGTCAAGGTCAGTGAGACCATCACACCGGTGCTCTTGACCGCTTTCCAGTTCCAGCCACTGCCCGCCCTGATGATCATCCAGCAGCGTCTCAAGCAGATGGCCGATGCCGCCATCTCACAGGAACAGGAGGAGGATGCTGCCGCCGCTGCTGCTGGCAACGACATGACAATGGAGGATGATGTGAAGGCTGCCTCCATCCCTGCCCCCAAAGAGGAGGAAGGCGGTGACAACGAAGACGAGGACGACGAGATGGAGAAAGAGATCAATGTCGAGGAGGTCAAGAAGAACAACGCAGCACAAGCAGAGTTGCTCAAGATTGAGAAGGAGACCGAGCAGATGATCGAACAGTGGAAAGACTCACTGAGTGCACAGCAATCAGCCATCGAGATCTTCACAAACATCTTCTCATCCGATGATGATGCCAATGCCGCTGGTCAGAGCACAACCGACAGTCCCTATGACGAAGACGACAAGTTCCTGGACATTGAAGACATCCAATCCGACACCAAAGAGCAAGAGATATCACCTCTGATAAAATACCTAGAGACTACAACCCTTTTGACAAACGTAAGTATTGATTGATTGATTGATAATGGAATCATTCCAACATTCACTCACACTCACTCAATCACTCAATCAATCACTCTTACATAGTTGATGGATTTCATCGAGTCTGTGGAGTCACATGACTTGACAGCAATCGCCAGACAGGCCACCGAGATGATGTCATTGATCATCACATTGAAGACAGTGTATTCAAGAGCAATCACATGTCTTTCCAACTTGTTGCTCTCATTCACACCATCATCCATTCATTCACAACCAAAGCTGTGGCAACTCCTTCTAAAGATTGCCTCACACCTCATTCGACAAGGTGTCATCTCACAAGCAAAGACAGAAGTTGAGCAACTCGAGTTTGTCACCAGCTCTCTCTGGTCACTGATGCGTATGAATGCCGAAATTGGATTCGTAAGTCACTCCCTCATGGAACTATCCCGACCCGACCCAATCCTAATCAATCACCAACACATCACATAGGCCACAACTCAAGAAGTACAACAGATACTGTTTATAACTAATAATGCACCAAAGTTGGTCAAGACCAACTTGATTGGAATGATTGGACTGATGGGACAGAAGGCATTGTGCCAACCAATACTCAAGGACATTGGCCAGCTGCTGGTGTTGTGTCTCAATGACCCAGCCGCCGAGGTTGTGGCCGAGTCACTCAACTCTATCTTTGACGTATTCGCCGAGCCACCTGTCAATGGAATCGTACGCGAGCTCAACATGATGTCGACACTCGAGCAGTTTGTTCCATACCTGCGCAACAAGATCAAGACCGAGAAGAAGAAGCTGGATCGCGCACTCCTCGATCGTCTGGACGAGTCACGTATCAATCTTGTCAGGTTCATCCAATACAAGAAGCAACAGAAGTAAAGTAAAGTAAAAGGGTAGTGGATCCGGACCTGGGGCCTTGGCCTAGTCCTGGACCATCCAAAGTTTAATAATTATTATATCGCGTTATCACTCCAATAATATGATTGGAGATGTGTATCTATCTCTATCTAATATGGCAACATGGTGGGCGACACGACTACCAGACGCCCCAGTAGTCCCAATCTCCATCCAAAGAGTAGAAGCTCTGTGAGCCTCTGTTGTAGTGTATGGTCTGGAACTCGACGATGGATCTGCCAACACTGGACGTCATTGTACCGACGAACATCTCACAGCGCGATGCGATGTAGACGTCGGCGAACGTCTGCATTCCATAGGTGACGCGCTCGTTCAGCGGGTCGAACTGGTCTTGCGCCAGCGACATTGGCGCGTGTGCAGTGTCGTTGATGTTGAAGTTGTTGGCTCGTTGCTGCTTGATCCAGTGGAATCTGTAGTCTGTCTTTGATCGCTTGGCCTCCTCGATGATGCCCTGGTCGTCGGTCAGCAGGAACACGTCCCTGATGCCCTTGTTTGAGTTGGCAGTGAGCACCTCCTCGTAGGCCCAGAAAGGGTGCACGACATTCTCGCGACTCTTGTCGCCGTGTCTGACGTGGATGGCAATACACCTTGGTTGGTTCGGTCCGCCAAACACCTCGACCACCTGATTGGCCATGTAGTCGCGCATGGCAAACGATGGCGTCAGGTAGTAAGTGAAGAGCATTGAGATGAACTGCAACTTCTCCACACGATTATCCGTGTAGTTGGTGTTTGGTGTGATGAACTCGCGCACTGCATCAAATGTCTTGACGTAGATTCCATTATCAATCTCATACTTTTCGTATTTAGATGGTCCAGATGGCTCGACCCTCAAGCTGCTGAGTTGTCCAGCATCATAATCATAGTAGTCGCAACTATATTTGTTTGATTGATTGATTGGATTGATTAGTTTGATGTGTGTGTGATTGGAATGATTCCAGGTCCATATACATACCTTGATGAAGGAATGAACATCTTGTCAAATGGTCCATAGGGGAACTGTCCTTGGATGATGGAGGTCATGCGGTTGTAGCGCAGACCTTGTACGGCGTTGGCCACGAGGAAGTGTAGCACAGAGTACATGCCCCAGCCATAGATCGGATAGATGGTAGTGTGTTCCTTGGTGCAGTCGACCTCGCGATCGGGGAAGTTGAGTCGATCCATCTTCTCATAGACGTTGGCCCACTTGAAACTTGGATTGATGCTGTGCAACTCGACGTAGAGCTGCACGGCGAAGCGGTCCTTGAGGTAGTGGCGAGTGATATGGTACTGCTTGTGACTGCCAACGAATAGGTCGAGGTCGAGATGGAACGTGTCATAGTCGTCGGGGCGACCAAAGACAAAGACCTGAGAGAAGAACCTTTGTGTGCTGTAGTCCTTCTCCTTGGAGTAGCCGAGACAGCTGACGAGCAGGTCAAAGAAGGACTTTGAGCGACCAGTGAGCTTGGGCAGCACCAGGGCCAGATTCGCATCGGATGGTACGTCCTCAATCTTGCTCACCACCATCGTCCTGAGACCAAATTGATGTAGTTGTACTATTGCCGATCGCATATGGAAGTCCTTGCCCAACGTACGTTGATCAGTAGGCGATAAGACGTAGACTATATTCTGTTGACTTGACCTCCTATACAACTCGCGACCAAGTTCATAACCGTCACGCTTATATTTAGGTGTCCAATTGGGATCATAAGGTAGATTCTGTCTTTGTAAAGTGATTGGATTGATCCATACTTCATTGGCCTTCTGTGCCTCCTTTGCCTCCTTTGCCTCCTTTGCGTCTTGTGCCTCTTGTGCCTCTTGTGCCTCGTTGGCACTATTTATATTATGTAGATTGTTGACGTTGTTGACATTGTTTGTATCGCCAGACACACTGTACATTGCCATTGATAGCAAGAACAGTAGACTCATGGCCACTGGCAGCAATAACTTTGTACGTGTCATTCTTGCTCCACCTCTAGTCTTTCCAATTATAACGTAAGTACCTAACAACAATATGAAAGCACCAACTACTTGTATAACTGGTGATATTCCAAACATTAAATATATATATATATATATATATATCTCTCTCTTATTATTTTTACATAAATAAATAAATAAGTAAATAATAGGACTATTAATAAATGAGTGAATGAATGGAGTAAGCTGACGTGTTGGTTCCAGAGGATATTATTGTAATCTGTCGTGCGCACCGATACAGTTTTGTCAAATAAATTACAAAAAATGAGACCTCTACACCCTGTATCATGCGGGGTCAATCGTCTTTTTGGTTTGGTTTGGGCCACGTGTGGGCTTGTAGCCTGCTCATTTTAGGAATGTAAACGTTGCAGATGGACAATTGGTCCACCAAACAAACGATCCACATCCTACACGACCGATAGATTCTAGTATCAATCAATCAATCAGTCAATCTAATCTAATAAGAATAGAATCACTATGATGATGTATTGTTTCCAAAATTAACATTGGCTTCTGGTCGTATCGCTACAAAGAATACGAGGTAGATGGTTACACCGACCACCACCATGACCACGAGGGCAAGTGGTCCTTTTTGGTCGTCGAATGGGCCTTGTGTCTTGGTCCTAATAGCATGACCTCTGCGTCGGAATTGAACTGTAGAGTATCCCATAAACATTATGGCCGTTATCCACAAGAATAGACCTGTCGCCAATGATACACCTTCAGTTCCAAAGAATGTAATGATCGCTGTACCAATGGCGCCCAACGAGAATGTCAATCCTTCATTCAAAGTGTAAGAGAAAGTTCATGTTAGTTCAATCATGCGTGCTTGCCATGCATGGTCGCTGTCAACCTACCAATCCATGAGAGGAAGGTTCTCTCGTTTGAGAAGAATGACTTTGCATCTTGTGACTCCTCTTTGATCCTTCTCTCCTCTGGCGTGAGGAATTTATCTTTCTTCTTCTTGTCCTTTTTCTTCTTTTTATCCTTCTTTCCACCACCTCCTCCGCCACCTCCACCTCCACCCATACTAGCATAATCAAACTCTGTCAGTTCTGTACCATCATAATTATGATCTATATTACCCGGTGGCAATGCAGGACTCATCTGATCCTTCTTCCTCATTGCCGTCGGTGTATCCCTTCTCTGTAAAGTTGAAGGTTCATTTCCACCTCCCAATACATCATCCAAACTATTTATATCTTCCCTCCTATACATCCCTTCCAATATCCTCTAATCGTTTCCTTTCCTTCTTTCCTTTTTTTGTTTTTGTTTGGTTTGTTGGTGTTGTAGTTGCTGTTGATTGATCGAATATTTGATTGAATGATTGCTATCCTGCCTTTACTATTATTAAACTACTATAACTACATAATACAATCATTAATGAATGATGGTGAAAGGAATGAATAAAGTGTTGATTGAATGAACACCTCTTTGATGTTGTGTTAAATACACCATTGTGAAGTGGGTCATTCACTCACCACCCAATGAAACAAACAAACACAAACAACTTATAACTGTAGTGCGAGTGGTGTGTTTAGTTCGAGGTGTGAATAAATGAATGAATTAGTGAATGAATGAATGAACGTCATTACTTGGACCGACGTCAGACATCCTGACAATCAATCAATGATTGACGTCACTCATACAACCAAAAGTCGCATGACCTTACAGATGGTGGAAGATATGTTTGTAATGATCTGGATGCGTCCCATCGGGAAATCTTAATGAAATTTCAATTATGAAGAATGAATCTCCCTCATTCACTTGATAACAACACACTGAGTGATGATAAATTCCATTAAAAATATTATTATTATTTTTTTGATTCATTCATTTTGACATCTAGAGAGTGAGAGTTGGTTGCACACTCACACAGCTCTCTCACCAACACCACACACGCAACAAGGACTATCTTCTCTCTAATTTAATTTATTATTGTCTCTTCACACATACTTATACTTATACTTATATATATACATACACACATATAATGTCTGCAACAATCAAGTTGGAATCCTCAGACGAGAAGGTCTTTGAGGTTCAAAGAGAGATTGCCTGTATGGCTGTCACCATCAAGCACATGTTGGAGGGTATGTCTATCAATCTTTGTCATTGACACAACTTGTTCATGATCATATATTAATATACTTTGATTTGTTTGTTGTTGTTGTTTAGATCTCGGAGACACTGATACCCCAATCCCATTGCCAAATGTCACCGGAGTCATTTTGGAGAAGGTGTTGGAGTACTGCAGACACCACCACGAGCACCCAACTCCACAACAGGACGACAAGAAGGATGAGAAGCGTTTGGACGACATCCCACCTTGGGACCGTGAGTTCTGCAAGGTCGACCAGCCAACCCTGTTCGAGCTCATCCTCGCCGCCAACTACCTGGACATCAAGCCACTGCTTGACGTTACCTGCAAGACTGTTGCCAACATGATCAGAGGCAAGACCCCAGAGGAGATCAGAAAGACTTTCAACATCAAGAACGACTTCACCCCAGAGGAGGAGGAGCAGATCAGAAAGGAGAACGAGTGGTGTGAGGACAAGGGTAACTAAACACTGAACTATTATGTAGTTGTTGTTGTTAGTCCCCAGCCCACCCACAGCCCAACACCTGGTGCGTGCCCCAGGTGTTCGTGTCATGAGGAGGTGATCAGTTCGATTGCACCTGCCGCTCGCCAAACCCCAATCATGTTCTTTTCTTCCAAACTCTAAATAGAACTGTTTATTATTATCAAACCGACCTCTCTATCTCTCTTTGGCTTCATTCATTCTTGCGTTCAATCCAAAGATTTGTCATCAATCACATTTCCCTCATCAGCTCATCATCACTTTTCTTTTGCGTCAAGGGCGGAGAGGGAAACATGAAGATATGATGTTGCCAGACATCAATATCAACGTCATCACTATGGTAACAAAGGTTTGGCGGCCGTCGGTTTATTCTTTCTTCTTTCTACATGACCTTGGAGGTCGCCAGACGACATCAACTACATACAACACAACAAAACATACAAGAGGAGCCTCCCACAGCCTCCCCTAGGGGCATTGGTCAAGGCCTACTAGACCTTTGGCAATAGTTTACATATATCTCTGTGTTTGGTGTCGTAGCAGCAGGCAAAGGTAGGCTTGTGTGCAATCATGAACGGTACCAACTTATGTCCTCTATGACAATGTTCGGCGCATGTCTTGCAGATCCCTATATTGAATTAGGTCAGTCAATGCACATCGACAATATATACATAATATACATACAGTTATAATTACAATTCTCGCATTTCCAATAGTCGCATTGGTCACCTGCCTTAAAGTTGGTGGCGTTGAAGCACAGCTTGGGCATGTCCCTATTAAGTGTGATCCATGAATATGTCAGTTGAGGATCGAGTAATTGATCGAGTGGGTTGGCGTCAATGCCATGCAGGATTGTTTGATGGATACTTACATTTGTAGTTTAACTTCACCTAACAAGACAATCTTTGAACTTTGTGGAATGTCATATAGTGACAATGGCTTTACCTCGTTGTCCAGTTCGATAGAGCCTCCGCCCATGGCCAATGGTCGCTGTACAACCAGGCTAGTATTGTCGGCGAACTTGATAAGCTTGTATTCTGGACCCTTCTGGTCCAGTTTCTCTATTATAATGTTCTTGATGTCGCGTGTCTAATGTTGGTCATTTGTCATGATGCAGATAATTGTTAGGCGACAGACTGACCGACCAAATGATTGATTGATGATACATACTGTGGCTGATGGACTCAGTGATACATGCTCAAATGTGATACTCTTCTCTTGCAATAATATGTTCACCTGTATGTTTACAAACTTGGGCGATACTGCTGTCCGCTTCAAGTGTCTGGCGATATGTCAGTGTGAGTGTTCATCAATCCATCCATCCATTAATCCATCCATCCATTAATCCATACTCTTCATATGCAGTGTATAATTGCTCGATAGTCTCTTGATGACTTTTTACCAACTTATCTCTCTTGAATGATAGCTCAAATGATGCTTGCTCCAACAACACTGGCTGACCACTATATCGCTTTGCAATCTCCACTTTCTCCCTTTCCAGACCCTCAAGGTTCTCCTTTAGCTTGTTCTCCATCTGTACATTCATCTCTTCATATTGCAACAATGAAGTCCGTAGGTATTTCTGTTTGATTGATTGATTGATTGAATGAATCAGCGAACTGCCAAGCCAAGACAAGGGCCATCGTGATCAAATCATACATACACTAAACAACTCTTGGATTGGGTTGACCTTGTGCTGCTCTTGTTGTTGTCTCTGACTGTTCTTGATGTCAGCATTGTTGATTAGATCGTTAAAGTATCGCTTGGAGGCCTCCTCCTTCTCGTGACAGATGATCTCGATCAGTTTGTCCAGATGATGATTCTTGATAAGTTTGTCCATTGTGGCCTGTGCATTACACAGTGGACACTTGTGATTCCTATTAATACACTCTCTAACGCATTTATCACAGAAGTTATGACCACAAGGTGTCATTGAACAATCCTTTATCCAACTATAACATATAGGACATGTTAACTCTTCAACTATTGGCTTGATCTTCAATGATTGATTGATTGAATGAATGGTCATAAGTAAGTAAGTAAGTCAGTGTATATGTTTATGTTGATTGATTGATTGATTGAATGGTACATACAGGGATAGCCAAGTTGTTCTGAACATCGTCATCATCTATATCCATCATTTATACAATACTTTCTTTTGATCTATTCTAACTTCTATATCTATATCTATTATTATATGTCTCTAACTTTATCTCTCTCAATGTGTCTCAATACATACTACCCTTGGACGTTTACATTCGATTACATTCAAGTCATGTTGCTAGCTTTCATTCATCCACTTCTCAAAAAAACCCTTCAAAGTTGATTCACTCTCTTTCGAGCAAGTCAACACACCAACCCCAGGCCAGACACACAATTCATCGAAAGTAAATCGAACAACTATCTCAATTCATTCATTCATTTATTATTATCTCTTCTTATTTATATATTCATAAACAACAAGAACAAACATATTTATTTATTTATTACCAAACAATACATTTTTCATACATATATATAATAATAATAATAAAGATGTCAATATTCGAGAACAAATCTAGTATTTCAAATTATAGTATAATAGAGTTTGAGTCAACGTTGACAAAGTTGAAAGAATTGTTGGATAATGATGATCAATTAAGTAAAAAAAACTTTGAATCAAGATGTAAATTGATCAATACATTATTGGACAATGCATCAGATCAATTGGAATACATTGTCCTCACTACCAATGGAAATGGAACTCAACAACTTCAAACACAACTTGACGAACAACGTAAAAGATACCAACAATGGAGACATAAATCAATGTTGAACCAACTAGTATCCAAAGATGATCATCAGAATATAAGTGAACAAGATATGATAGCCAAATCCGAACAAAGACAGACTACACTTAGAAATGGAAACCAGATGATTAGAGATGCCATCACTCAAGTTGATAAGGATATTGTATTGATGGGTGATACAATGTTAGAGTTACAAATACAACGTGAACGAATGCTCAACATGGAGAAGAGCTTCGATCGAATAGATGGTACACTCGAAAGCTGTAAGAGGACAATAAATAAGATGTCATCCATCTGGTCATGGTTCTGACTTGACCTGGATCACTCCTTCATTCCTTCATTCATTTTGAAAAGTGATGGTTTGGCGCACTTTTGAGGCTGAACTTGACACAATTTAATGTTCATTACTCGTCATTCATTCATTGCTTTGTTGTTGTTAGAGATACAGATATAAATAGATACATATAATAATGTTTGGATCAATCAACAATGGTGTCAATAACAGACAACAACAACAACAACAACAGAATAAGAAGGGATTCACAAACTTCAAATGGGCCAATAATGGAGACCTACTGACCTTCCCATCGACTCACTCCAAGCAATCATCACGCACATCAAACAAGGATGCTGACGCAGCCACAGTAACCATCGACAAGGTTGCCATATTGAGTGGCATGCGCAAGGTAAGTTGAAGGAGTGATCATGTCATCATCAATGATTGATTGAATGATTGATTGATTGAATGAATGAGCGATCGAATGTACTAAACTCGAACAATACTATCATGATTGATATATAGTTCTATAATGAGATATACTCTCATTTCTATACACTTCAAACTCTGGTTAATGAGTCATCTCGGTCATGTAGCCCAGATGAAAGAGTGCGTGAGATCGCTGCGATTAGCAATAGATATCAATCAGTATTATTGTCGACACGTGAACAACTACAGCGATCATTGGACAATGCCTCATATCTTGACTTTGACGACGAAGACAACAATGCCCATCCATTCGATCAACAACTAATGTATGTATTATTGATTGAATGATTGATCGACCCATCCACATCGCTCACTCATCTGACTCACCCGAATGTCTAGACAACGCGAAAAGTCAAGGATAGAGGATATTATGAGACAGTCAAAGGCATCGAATGTACAATTGTTAGTGTTTTGTGGCAGCGTTCATTCGATCTACCCATTGCTCTGTGCAAAGTTGTCGAGGGAGCAGCGTGTGAACTGCAGGCTGATCGCCAGAGAGTCCAACACACCGATGGGTCCAGAGATTAAGCGATCACTGGAGCACATCCAAGATATGTTGACCGTGCTCGACAAGCAAAAGTACGCCCAAAGACTTCAATACATCGACAGCGAGTTTGGACAGCACCTGGACAACCTGACCTTTGTCGAGTGCGACTCTCTGTACCAACGCGTAGGTAGATCGAACTCACTCAATCATGCTCCCTCACTCACCCTGGAATCATTCCAATCAATCAATCAAAGTATAAAGGCGAGTGCGAGAACCTTCAAGTACTATCGATCATTTGGAAGATCACACATCTGTTCTACTTCTCATCGACTATCTCACCATACCAGCTGTTGGACTGCCTGCAGATACAGCGCCAGAGACTGCTGGCCAGACAGTCGACCATGACAGAGAGTAGCGCACTCGAGTCAGACGAGGGCTTTGACTATATCAATGAGCTGCTCGTCACTGGATGCATCAAGGAGGCCATTTACATGCTCAACCTTCACTCGCGTCTGCCCAAGTCGTCCATGTCCGTGCGCATGTCCACGATGCGCAAGTCACCCATTGGCAGCATCATCGAGCTGTTGCAGCGCATGCCAATCCTGCATCGTCTACAATCACACAACGCAGCCAACGAGTATCTTTCGCTGTGGGCAAGATGGTATCAGGAGGCGGAGGACCTGCGCATGGCCTACCATGGCACAGTGGACCAACACCTGCAGGCCATCCTGGATATCATCGCGGGCAATGAAGCCACCGTGCAAAAGTACTCGAGCGGCGATTTCCTCACATCGGTCGTGGCCAACATCCTGTTTGTCGAGCATCAGAGCTCGATCGCCCAGATCAGACAGCTCTTCCTGCGCTGCTACCAACGTCTGGACACGCGCTCCACAGTCGATCGCATCATGCTCTCGTTTGCCACGTCCGACCTGGAGAAGGCGCTGAAGCGCACAAGCAAGCACTTCCCGACGTGGACTGTGGCGCACATCACCGACCTGCTCTACCACCATCCCTACGTGCTCAAGAAGCACTACACAGAGTCGTCGCCACTGGACAACATCAGAGATGGACTGTTTGTTGACTATGCCCAATTCCTCTCATCTCAGCCATCTCTAGTCGAGGTTGCCTGTGGATATCTCCAGCACACCAAGGCTGGCAGTCTAATCATTGATCAAATCATCCAGCACCAACAGATCACCTCTGAGAGGCAAGCACTCAAACTTCTTCGTCTATGTCAGTCCGATGAGTCTGAGAGATATATCTTTAGAGTATGTTAGATTGGATTGGATTGGAATAGTTCCACTCACTCACTCAATCAATCAATCACATGTACAGATGTTGTCCTTGAAGGACTTTGAGAATGAGAGATATGCATCAGCACTTGGATGGCTGTTGAAGGGAAAGGACACAGCTAGGATCACTCAGATGGTCAACTACTTGTTGACTGAGAAGTTGGACTCCAACTTACTGGATGACCTTCAATCATTAATGGAAGCCAATCCAACTGATGTTGAACTCTACAAAGAATTGGACTTCCTCATCAAGTACAAAGAGTTGATTACATTGTGGAAGGTAAGACATCACACTTGATTGATTGATTGATTATCTGATTTATCGAATACTCATACTCATTCTCTAATCCAACCCAATACATAATGTAGAACAAGAACTTTGAAGACTATTCCAAGTGTCTATGTGGTATGCTCAGAGACAGAGTTGTACCAAAGCCATTCTGGATGCGAATGCTGTTGGATGTTGTGCCAATGCTCGAGAGTGACAAGAAGGTGTACTTTAACATGGACGACACGGTACTGATGTTGAATTGTCTGGAGGAGATATGCTCACCACATCTGATGGATCAATATCTCGATGGTGTCTCTGATCAGGAGTTACAAACACTTCGTCTGGCACTTGCAAGGAATGCTTCCAAAGCATTGATGATGTCAACCTCATCATCATCAATCAATCAAATTCAATCAGATCAATCATCCAACATGATGATGATTTCAATGGTACCATCACCAAACAAGTATCCACATATTCACAAACAACCAATGACAACCAATCACAACATCATCTCATCAAGTATCTTCAAATAAGACCCTTACCCTTACCCTTACCCTCGCCCTTGCCCTTGCCTTTGCCCTTGCCCATTTGCACATTGAAGTGGTAGTAACGTTTTTGAATGAACTTTCAATTTAATTTGATTTATTTATTTTTTTTCAACCCCAAAGATAGTGGGAGGATTGGACTGAGGTGTGCTCGCGAGCGAGGGATGCTCACCATCCATCCCCTTCATGTTTGAGACAGTAGACAGGTATTGACTTCCTTTTACCGTTCATCCACAGGATCCTTAGCACATTGGAGAGAGAGAAAGAATGATCATCCCAACTGACCACCGTCTCAAAATCTACAACAACCTCTTCAAAGGTATGAGGTGAACTCATCATCATCACATCACATCACCATCCAAATCCACATCCACCATCACAGATACAGGCAAGGAGGATACAGGATACTGCGATACAACAGGATAGAGGATGCATGCAATCAGTCAACAGGATATTAACATACAACTCATAAACAACAACAGAGGGAGTTGTCGTCGCCAAGAAGGACTTTGGTGCCAAGACCCACCCAAACATTGAGGGTGTCTCTAACCTCGAGGTCATCATTGCCCTGAAGTCACTCAAGTCCAGACAGCACGTCACTGAGATCTTCAACTGGCAATACTATTACTTCACCCTCACTGACCAGGGAATCCAGTACCTCCGTCAGTACCTGCAGCTCCCAGAGTCTGTGGTCCCAACCACCCTCCGCAAGCCAGCTGCTCGTCAAATCGAGCGCTCCGAGCGTTCTGAGCGTTCCGAGAGACGTCCAGAGAGATTCGAGGATGGAAAGCGTGTTGGTCCAAGCGGCGAGTTCACCCCAGGTTTCGTATGTATCGACACAAGAGCAACAGCAGCAACAGTAGCAGTGGCAGCAGTAGCAGTGGCAGCAGCAATAGCAGGTATACTAACACATATTACCAACCTTTATTACATTACCAAACAAAACAGAGAGGAGGCGATCGCCCACGTGGAGGTCGTGGTGGTATGAGCAGAGGAGGATACAGGAGAAACGAGGAGGGAGGTGAGCGTCGTCCAGCCCCAACCAACAACTAAATGTGTGCTCAACTTCTCCTGTTGGATCCGTTGCCCGTTAAATAAATAGTCTTTGGTAGAGCAACCACTGTCAAGGTAACAACAACAATCGACTGGACTCAAGCATTGAATTACATTACTTGGATTGGAATGGATTTGGATTAGATTGGACATCACATGAACAAGAGAGATAGATATGTTGAGGCAGAGAGAGAAGAGAGATTACATTTTTATTCAAACATCGTTGTTGATGATGATGATGGCGGCGTTGTGCGCAGTTTGGTAATGTTAATTAACATCAGATATTGATATACAGTTGATTGATGGATGGATGGTTTGAGTAGCGTTGGAGGGATAATAGTAGGGATTGGTTTATGATTGGCCTGGGAAGCCACAACCCATGACGCAACGGAGATATTGAGGGATACAAGCGCCAAAGTCGTTGACTTGATTATGGAACCAGGTATCCAAACAGTTATAGTCATCTTCAAAGCATGCCTTCAGACATTGTTCTCCACCAAAATAGGCCTCCTCAGTGTCCGCTCTAGATACTGCAACAAAGAATATAATAGCAAAGAATACAATAAATAATAGTTTCATGGTAATATTTATTTTTATATATATATTGATATCAATAATTTAGGAATTAATTATATTGATTGTTCATGATGGCTAATTTATAATTTCCAGGTTTATCGAGTAACTCGATATTAATATTATTAATATTGATGTACATGGTTGTATTTTGTCATACCATTCATAGTTATAATTTATCGGTGATTATTCATTTTCCATCAATCAATTTACACAGTGATGGTGGTTGTGATTGGAATAATGTCAATGATCATAGTTTGGTGGGGAGTGAAAGCAATTGACTCTCACCCACTAATCTCAATCACATCCGATCTAACATATTGTATCATTACAAACTAAGTAATATGACATAATCAATCGTTACATTTGATTGATACAGAAGATGGAGGTAAGATAGGCCGAGAGTATTGACAAGATCCAAATTCTCATTGACAATACCTGGATTGTAATAATCAATTCATTTCCAACATATCGCATCGTGTTTGTTGTTTCCAGACGATCTTGAACTTCCTTTTGTCTTTAATTAATTCTTTTATTTTAATTCCAAAAAGTGATCACATCACTCTCATTCCACCCTTTCTGATTAGTTGTAGTACAATACAAAAGCAACATATATTTCCTGCAGAGACAATAATGCTCGCGTCAAACCATCACTACTGGGTTGAAGCTATGAGACTGATTGACAACGACACTGCACTGTTGGTACCAATCACAGAGAAACCCATCTTAAGATTATTCCATGCAATCGATTGCATACTATACAGTGATCACTCGGCGAGAATATGGCCACACTGCGGTTGCTCCATCAATATGGACACGCAGGAGAAAACCATCATATCTTTATGTTCGCAACAACACTGGGTGCAATCGATATCATGGAGGCCGTGTACCAGCCAGAGTTCTCCACAGACACAGACCTCAGACCATTCTGTAGAGAGTGTGGCAACAGAGGAGATGTTGATGTGCTCCAATATCTCAAACAGAAGGGCTTTCCAATCGATTTCAAACTTTCAATGAGGAATGCACTTCTCTGTAGCAATCTTCACACAGTGGACTATCTCCTGACACTACCAGAGCATGTTGACCGTGGTGGCAAACCTGGCTACCTCATGTCAGACGATGTCATTTTGTTTTTGGAGGACACGAGAAGGAGGGCGGATATTGATATGCACATTTTCACATCCATCTTGGACCGACTGGATGCTCCTTTGAGACGAGATCAGTAATTCATCAAGAATTTCTTGCCCAGCGCTGGTTTCAACATACATGTCTATCGTGCCACCCTGGAGATGCTGAGTCGAGATAAACAGCAACAGGTTCCAGGAGCTATTACAACGCCATTCATCAATCCTCCTCCATTTGACAAGGCTGACTTCTGGTCTATGTGCCCGTACTACGACTATCGAACAACCAACTCTGTGGTGCAGCTGTTTCTCATCAACTACAATAATGCACAAAAAGTAGTTGATCTCACCTTTATTATTCCCTACAGCGATTAAGAGTGCCAGATCTACCTGGAGATCACCACCAGGACTGGCTTTTTCAAAACCCTCGCCTGCTCACAATCCACTGGCAAGTCGACGATGAAAAGCAACTAGGAGGACACATATCTCTCAGACCAAGATCCGGATCGATAAAGAAGATAGGCATTATTTTATATTATATTATACTAAATTATCATCTTCATAGTAATCTTCTTCACCTTGTATATCCTCTAAAGTGAATCCAACCTTATTAAATATCCTCCTATTCTGATGATGTATACTCTCTTGAGGTTGTTGATGTGATTGTTTACTCGAACCATGTTTCTTTGATTTACCATGTTGTTGTATTTCCTTGTTTGGCATTGACGTTTCACTCTTGCATTTAGGGTTTCCCTTGTCATCCACAATGCAAGTTGTACCCTTTACACAATCCATAAATCGACATACATTGAAGCAAGATGGCATCAAATCATTGAATGGTTGTACACATACTTCATCCTTTCCACATTGTAAATCTTTACATGTTATTGGTTTATGAGTGGCACCTTCAATTATTGTTTGATTGATTGATTGATTAGGTTGGTTAATTATGGCTATATTTTGATACTCAGCCTTCAAACTTACCATTGACAGTGAATGAGAGTATAAGTAATATAAATATATATGTACAGGTGTACATGTTGTATGTTATGAATAGGAATCAAAGAGAGTAAGATTTATTGATAGTAATCAACTGATTACACACACACACACTCATAGACACATACACACAAACAATCAAAGAATGACGAAGGTAGCTAGTGTGTGTGTTTAAATCATGGTGGCCTTGTATACTTTACAAGGACTCCTATTGTATTATTGTGAGTCAGCATCAATGAGTGCGATCGATTGATTGATTGATGTGTGTTTCTGATCAGAAACAGGAAGAGGAAGAGGAGGAGGAAAGGCTCTATTGAWTTGGAACCATCATTGCTCGTCTGATCAGTTGTAGTAGTGTGCTCACTGCTATGTGGGGCAACAATATCTTGCTGCTTCTGGTGATGGTGGTCATCCTCATCATCATCATCTTCAATGATAGGTATTGGCAAGGAGTCTGATGTGTTTGTGGTGGAGGTCGAGGTGGTAGTAGTTGATGTTGTTGAGGGGACGACATAGCTATCAGTTGTCATTGGTGTCGGTTCGAAAATTGGTGTGGAGTCCTCGTATGGTGGAGTTTGAGACATTGGAGACAGAGAAGTGTTGGACTTCTCCCATGGCTTGAGTGGTCTCTCCTTCACTCCTTTGTTCACTGCGCCATTGATTGGAGTGTTGTTAATATCATTGCGAATGCCAGGTGGAGTCTTGCCCTGTTTCACTTGATTTATAATGTCAACAAAGTCTGTTGAGTATGGAGTGTCTAATTGATTGATGGATTGAGTATGGTTAGCATCCAGATTGATCAAACTAGTTCCAATTCAATCAAACATACCATCCTTCTTTGGTTGAGGAGCAGGTGGTTCGACGACGACGTTTGTTGTGTTGACAAAACTGTCGACATCTGCGCTGGTTGGTGTCACACTGGTCGTTGGCTTGGAGTCAAAGTCATTGACAACGACTTCACTCTTTGGTTTCGATGGAGATGAAGCAGGAGACATTCCAAGACTAGAATACGATGGCAAGCTGTTGGTGGTGGTCGTCGTTGTAGTGGTGGTGGTTGCGCCAATGGTGGTGTTTGGTGAAGCTCGCTGCTGTTGTTGTTGCCATGATGGTATGGTCGATTGTGAATCATTGTTTGGCTTCCAAGTCAGGTTCGAGTAGGGATTGACCACGGAGATGGGTGGGGGTACGCCTCCAGTCACTCTCCTCGCTGGCTGCTTGGAGACAGCAGCGCCAGTGGCGCCACCACCCTTAATGTGGAGAGATCCGCCAGTTGCGCCAAGCTGTTGATTTTGTTGCGAGCTAGTTGTTGAAGGCAAGGGAGGAATCCTAAAGTCGGAGTCTTCAAGGATGGGCGTCATCAATGATTGAGATGCGTTGTTGTTGCTGTTGGCAATGAGGCTAGAGAGGTTGTTGAGCTCTCGTTTGATCTCGCCAATCTCTTCGCTGGTGGCCTGCTTCTGGAAGCTACCATCGGTGAGCGCCTTGAGCGGCTGCATCATCTCCTTGAACTCGCTGGACTGTGTGGCGATGGCCTGTTGCAGCAGGTTGATCTGCTCCTGCAGGTCTGAGATCTTCTTCTCGGTCTTCTTCTCTTGCTCGCCAGAAGCGCCTCCCTCCTTGCGGAAGTATGGCAGGATGTAGTTGGACGTGAGGTAGGCCAGGCCAGACGCGACACCGACCAGCGCAGTCACCGACATTAGCACGTTGCCCCATGAGAATGTGTTGGCTGCTGCGTACACCTGCTGACGTCTGTCACCTGGATACATTGGTTGTGCCATCTGATTCGAATAGATTGGTTGCTGCTGTTGTAGTTGTTGCTGTTGTGGCTGATAGACTTGTTGCTGTTGCTGTTGTGGCTGGTATGATTGAAGTTGAGTCGAAGATGATGACGAGGTGTAGGGGGCGACGCCAGTGGTTGATCTTCTCGGCGTTGCCGATGACACACCTGCAGTGCTGCGTGTGCTGCTGGTGGTGTTGGTACCCGATGTCGTGATACCTCCGCCACTCTTTAACTCCTCGTGACGCATCAGTGCCTCCTTGATCTCCTCGGGAGTCATTCCACGCTTCTCCAAATAGGCAACCTTGCGACCAAGTGCAGTGTTCTTGACGTTGGGATTGGTGAGGAATGTGACAGCCTTGCGTACCAAGTCCTCTCTCAGGCCTGGTGTTGTTGCGGCGACGGGTGGCGCAACTGATGCAGCCTGTGACTTCTTCTTCTTTACAACGACTACCTCTTCTTCATCATCATCCTCATTGTCATTGACCTGCTGCTGTTGTTGTTGTCTGACAGGCTTGAGTGTTGACTTCTTCTTTATGGCGACATCACCTTCTTCGCCATCACCCGACGTGTTGTTTGACTCGTTCGACATATCAACAGATGCATTGTCTCTCTTTTTCCTTTCCTCTATCAATCTCTTTGCCTCCTCCTTTCTCTTTTGTATCCTTTGTCTTGTCAACTCTTCTGGTGACAGTTGTTGTTGTTGTTCAGGTACTTCAACATCGTTTTGTTGATCAACGTTGTCCATCTTTATATGTATATATATTATATGTATGTATGTATAATGTTTATGTAAGTGTACAAGTTGAAACAGTGAATGAATGAATTGCGAATTGGAAGTTAACTGATTCCCTTTTTTGAACAAAGTTGTCGTCAACTTGGGAATTGACACTTTTTGAAGTCCCATAATTGACTTGAAGACAAACTCATTGAGTTTCGCCATCATGTACATGATTGAGAGGACGGACAAGTGAGTGTAGTACTACTACTGCTCACTTACTCTCGTGCACGCCTCTAGGAGATTTATTCGGTTGGGATAATGAATTGCCAATGCCATTGCCATTGCTCGTGGAAAGCAGACCGCCGCCACCAACATTGTTGTTCATCTTTAGATTGAGATTGGCACGCTTCAATGCATTGCTTGCCTCACGTATCTCACGCATCCAATCCTCCTTCTCCTCCAATTTAGACGTTGATATCACAATACCATTCTCATTCCTATCCTCCCTGTTGCTCCATAATATCCTGAATGAGTACTCCAAGTCATCTAATGGTAGTTGAGTTGAGTTAGTGAATGAATGAATGAATGAGTGATGGTACATAATACATACTGTTGTTGTTCATATCAACTACTTTGACCTCGAGCAATGGCATGGATTGTAGTACGACGTACTTGTTGCGGGTTGGCTTGGTGAAGAATAGGAAGTCATTGAAGAGGATGAGATGGCGATACTTGGATACCTTCTTTTGTCTTGACTCCATCATTAGACCTTCTTTGAGGAGACGTCGCTCGTCACACACCATTTGGAAGCCTTCCTGCAGTCCTACAACCTTCTCCTTAAGCATCTTGGCCTTTTCCTTGTTCTCGGCAGTTCTCTTCGACTCGTTCAACTGGTCAATTATCGTCTTTGTGCGAGCAAGCACCGTCTCCAGTGCTGCCTTGTCGTCCTTGTCGTGTGTATGTGATAGCAAGTCGGTGAGGAGCAGCATGTATCTTGGTAGTCTTTGGATGGGCTGTTGATTGATTGAGTGAGTGAGTGAGTGGTGGAATGGTTCCAGAGGGGGAGGTGTTAGTGATCCATGATTGATTGAGCGATTGTGGTTGATGAGGACTTACTCGAATCAGGTATGATTCCAACGTCTCGCTCTTGCAATGATCAGAGAATTGGCATTTCTAATGTGATTGATTGATTGAGTGAGTGATTGATGGAATGATTGATTGATGGAGGGATACTTACATCCAGGAACTCTTTGAACTTGGGCACTTTGACACGATTGTCATGTATCAGGTCCATGGCTTTGTTGAACTTTTTGATGTAGTAGCGGTAGGCACTGGTTGTGAGTGGATTGTCCCAGAGCCAGACGAATGCGTCTACTATCTCGCCAACACTGGGCTCGGCTGACAATGACATCAGCTTCTTGAGGAACTCGCAGTTGACTCGGTAGATCTTATCGATGTTCCTGAAGATCTTGGTCACCACCTCCTTGGGCAGGATGGGCGAGGTGGCCGATGTGACCACCAGAGGGTTGTAGCACACTCTGATGCAGATGCTTAGCGCGCTCTTGAACGATCGCTCAGTGTCAATGATCTCCTTGATGATCTTGCCTCGTCTAAATGTGCTCGCTTCCTCTGGTGACTGAACTGCCTTGTCCTTGTCGGCCCGCCTCAGTCTGGGACTTCCCAGATTGAGTGAGGCTCCATTTGGTGATTGTCTGTGCATTCCAGCGCGTGGTGATGATTGGGCGGAGCCGCCAGCCGAGCCTCCATTGCCAACGTCCCACAAGTCCAGGTCAGACATGTCGTCCCTAATCAATTCGCCACCAATGCTCGGTGACACTGGTACACGAATGTTATCCAACGCCTTTATAATCGACTCCCTAACCTGTGCATGTGGATAATCCACATGCTTTGATAGCTCTGCATCGCACTCTGACTCTGCAATGATATATCTACACATGTCTATGTGATGAGTGATGGATGGATGGATGGATGGATGGGTCAGCAATGTGTGTCGCTCATTCAATCTATCCAGGGAGCAGGAACATACCATCAATACACAGATTGGCGATGGATAATGAGATGGCCTCGAGTAGTTGTGAGTTGAGTGATTGGCGATCCTTGAGAATGTCTATGAGGCCTTCGATGAGGTACTTGGAGCGTAAGACTTTCCTGATGTCTGCGTTTGATGTTAGGTTGGCAAGACAGCTGATGCTGAGTGACTTGAGACTGAGTGGTGAGCTGATCGACACGATGCTGTCCACCAAGGGCATGATGGCGCCCGAGTCCAAGATTGGACGCTCTGTTTCCTCTGTCAGCGAAAGATTGATCAAGATCTTGGCAACCTGTTCCTTGACCTGCAATGACGATGATGGTGACGAGAGGAATGATATCAGCTGACTCAGCACGCCAGAGATGGCTATGATTCTTCTGATCAAGGCTGGAGGGGAGTGGGAAAGGGAGAGAGTGAGTGAGGATGGTTCCATGGATTCCAGTGATTATCCAATCCAATCCAGTGATGGACTTACGGTGATAGATTGAAAGTACATGGATGATGGAGGTGAGTGAGATGATGACCTCGTTGGTGAGTGCAGGCGAGCGTGAGCCAAGAAGTTTGGAGATGTGTTGGATGGCGCCGCTGTGGCAGAGCACGCGCTGGTTGTCCAGATACTCGCCGCATGTGTCCTTGTGAAGCAGGTTGCGCAGAGGGACGGCAGCCAGCGTGATCAGACCATAGTTGCTGCGCTTGATAATGTTGATCATAATGTCGACGGCGTTGTACTCGATCAGCTGATGAGAGTGCTCGATGCAGATGGTCAGATTGGTGAGCACCCACAGCGCCTTCTCTGCAATGTCCTGATTCTTGTCGTCGAGCAGATGCAGCACAGCACCTATCAACTCTGATTTGAGCACAGAGTCGCCTGTGTCCCTGTTAAGACAAAGGTGACTCAGCAGCCACGCTGACATCATCCTTATAACATCATTATCAGATTGTATCAGTTCTTTCAACTTCTTTGCTCCAATCATACTAAATATCATCGATTGGATTGAGTCTATCATTGTTGTTAAAGTTAGTGTATCTGTCAGCATGTCATGTCATGTCATTCAATCAATCCAAACATACTCTCTGTTGATACATTAATCAATGATCTTAGACATTCTTCTTGAACAGATACATCGATTGAAGATAACTTCTCTGTATTACTTCTAAGTCTATCCATTGTACTTGTTCTTCTCTATATATTATATTATTATTATTACAATAAAGTATACTTGTTGTTGGTTGTTGGATGTTAGCTACGTTCAACAACACTTGTTGAGCATAGTAGTAGTGATGTGTAGTGATGTGAGGTGAATGGTCTTTGATGAATGGAAGGATATATTATATAATATAAAGTAGTAGTAGTAGTATAAAGTGATTGATTGATTGATTAGTTAGTAGATGTATTACATTACATCATCACTCTTTAGCGCGCTAATGTGACGTGGGGGGACATTTAGCGTCCCTTGGGTTGGAAACAGCACAATGTAGTCGAGTGTCGAATGACAGCTCTCACTCACCCGCCTCACTCACTCACTCACGTGCACATTCATTCAAACAACTAAACACTCACCTTTGAGGGGTCGTTGTTGTTATTATCAACACTTTATCAATCCAATCAATATCTGAATCTTATAATCTTATCTCCTCTCTGTTTTTCTTATTAATATATGTATAAATGTATTATAATATCTATCTTATCTCTTTGTACAATCAATCAATTAAGAAATCGGTATTATGAATGATGATGATGATACTGGTATGAGTTATTACCAACACTTGCTCAATCAATATCAGTCCGGATGATGGATGGATTGGATGACCCATTATTATTCGATTGATTGAGTGTTTGAGGACCACAACAACCCTGCAATCTTGGTCAGATCGACCCAAACACTGCACCCAATCAGAGAACCAATCAAAAAAAAAAACGACTGATTGCGCAAAACGATGCTGTTTGTGTGTGTTTGGAGGCAAAACAAGGAGGCAAGGACCTTGTTTTATTCATCCTGTTGTTGTTTGTTACATAGTTCACTGTTTGATGTTTGTTTGTTTGTTGTTCCAACACTCCCAAAACGGCAAGAATGATTGATTGATTGGAATGGTTCCAGTGATTGATCAATCCATTGAATGATTAAGCATTCATCCATTCAGTGAGTCCCTCACGCTGGTTGAGTGTGGCGAATGATTGTAATGATCGCATGTGTTGGACGTAGCGATTGACGTTGGGCCAAGCTGTGGGTGGCTTGGGCATGTTGCGTGCCCAGCGCATGTACATTGTGGCCAAAAAGTCGAGTGCAGTCAGTTTGTTGTCGGCGAGATAGACACGTCCGTCCGAGAGGATGTCGTCGAAGCGGGCCCAAGCGCGCTCAACACGCTCGCGAGCAATATCCTTGATGGCGTCGGCGTGGCCGGCGGGTGCCTCCTTATCGGCGTAGTACCAATCGCGCATCATTGGTGCCAGGACGTTGGCGCAGTGGACAATGAGCTCGAGCCAGACTCCGCGGGCGGGGCTGCCGACAGCGGGTGCGTACTGTGGGTAGTGCTCGCTCAGCAGCATCATTAGTGCGGCGGTCTCATAGTGGGCGACACCATCGATCATCAACGTTGGGATGAGTCCACGTGGGTTGATCTTGAGATAGGCATCCTGCTTGTTCTGGCCAGTAGTAATATCAACAGACTTTATCTCATGTGTTGCCTTGGCATCGATCAACATCCAATGAACACAAAGACTTGCAGCGCCCTGTGCGTAATAAAGTACATAAGTGTGAGACATAATTATTATATGTTGTTATATCTTTGTATAAGTTTAGATTGATAAAGTGATGATGTTCATCTAGTTCAATTTGTGGACTTGTGTTAAATTTAACTTGTTGGAAGGATGGGGGTCGGGGTCAGTCCTGTGATGTGGATGTCAAGAGGGTATTCCTTGGAATAGTATTCCAGAACATACGCTCCGATTATTCAAAACAAGCACAAAAGATTGATTCATTGGCATGATTGATTAGGACTTGTCACAACCAATCATTCACTCTCTCTCTCTCTCTAACTCAACTATCAACCAACACCAATGATCATAATATGATTGATATTGGTACAATATATCAAGATGTCTGTCTATCCTATCAATGTCAATTAATTGGGAAAGTGATCATAGTGATTATAGGACGCCGGGCATTCATTTCGCAAAGTCGTTCTCATTTTTTTAATTATTGTTGTTTTGTGAGTGTGGTTGACGAAGTAGGCGAGGAACTGAACTTAACAAAAACAATGTGTGTGTGAGGTGAGGATGCGTGAGGGCGCGACTTGACTGAGCTGAAGTCATCAACAACTTGTGAGATTGTATTCAAACCAATAACAACATCATCTACACCTACAACAATGGTAAGAAAGATACAGTCAATACAAACAATGCAATCAATATTCGAAACGAACCTACAGTCATGCGAGTCTTATTATGTATTGGTGGCTCGGTTGACACCTCGAGTTGGCTCAATGTATACATACATTCATTCATTCATTCATTCATTTGTTGAATGAACAAAGAGGAGAACATCATACAAACAGTGACCCATTTGGAAGACAGATTAAAGACATCAAATCAAAGAAAGGATGAAGGACAGAACAGCAGAATATCACAACATGACACGAGGCGACGCGACGCGATGCAACATGACAGGGGATGCATTGGACATAGATAGATGATACTCATTGGACAATAATTAGTATAGGACAAATCAACTAACTATCAATTATTCATTCATCAATCACAACTCGATTTATAAATCATCAATCAATCAATCAATCAATCAATTACAGAGACCTTTGCATCTACGTCTACACGAGAGACCAATCACTCACATTCAGTTCAATCGCGAGGGCGATCTGCTGTTTGTCGCCGCCAAGGATAAGCTGGCGTCAGTCTGGTACACTGCCAATGGTGAGCGTATCGGAACCTACGCACATAATGGTGTCGTCTACGGTTTGGACGTCTGTCAGAACACAAAGTACCTGATCACCGCTTCGGCCGACGCCAAGATGGTGCTCTGGGATGTCAAGAGCGGCAAGCAACTCGAGTCAGTCTCATTCGAGGTTGCTGCCCGTTGGGTCGAGTTCTCCCAAGGAGACAGACAGATCCTGCTCGTCACCGACAAGGTCATGGGTATGGAGGCCACCATCCACGTCTTCAACTTTGAGCCAGAGAATGTTCGTAAATGTATGTTGTCGTCGCACAATCACTGGAATCATTCCAATAACTCATCGATCATTCATACTGACCTGACCTCTCACTCACATCACACAGTATCCAAGGTATACCAGTTGCCATCGCCACAATGCAAGATCCTGCAAGCCACTTGGTCTCCAATGAACAAACAGATTCTGGCCGCCTGTGAGGACGGAGCCGTGCGCATCTACGACACTGAGAAGAGAGAGTTGGTTCACACGATCCTCGATCACAACAAGCCCGTACAGAAGATCGTCTGGGTCAAGCACAGAATCCTGTTCATGACCTGCTCAAAGGACGGCACGGCCCGCCTCTACGATGCCAAGACATACCAACACCTCAAGACATACGACACTGGTCGTCCAGTCAACGCCGGCGCCATCTCCCCCCTGAAGCCACATCTCATCCTTGGTGGAGGTCAGTCTGCCGAGTCTGTAACCACTTCAAAGGTGGACTCCTCCCAGTTCAAGGTCAGGTTCTACCATATTGCCTTTGGTGATGAGATTGGAGGACTCGTTGGTCACATTGGTCCAGTCCACACGATTGATTTCACAGCCAATGGAAAGACGTAAGTTATATATATCTCATTCAATCACTCGATCCACTCAATCACTCACTCAATCAATCAATCACAATCTTTAGGTTTGCCACTGGAGGAGAAGAGGGACTTGTTATTGTTAATCATTTAGACCCATCCTATTTTGAATTCGACCCAGACATGGAGTTCTCTCCAAAGCAATCAAATGGTGTCAATGCTTAATAAATCGTTGTCATCATCCATCTATCTATCTATATTTGTTAAAGTATGACTACTTGTGGTGCTTGGGATTGAAATGGATCGTAGGATTGATGACGTAGATGGTGTCGACTCAACTGCGCAGTTGAAAAATTGGTTTAGATCATGTGATTGCTGTGTTGTCATAGGCGTCCCGAACGCCCCTGCATTCTTCGATCCAAATTCGGAAATAAATTCTGGTCTCTGTTTGATGTTTGTGTGTGTGATGGTGTTTGTTCACTAACAATCGCGAGAGTGAGTGAGTGAGTTGGATAGATTAGCTTTGCAGCAACTTGGTGCAAGTGGGAAGAGTCAAAGGCGGCAAAGGTTAACCCTTAAGTCCAACCCCTTATTCATTCATTCATTCATTCAATCATTCATACATTCATAGTTCAACAGATATAGATAAACAGATCAAAAGATATTTGTACATATATTAATAACAACCAATCAAATAAATAATCAAACAAACAACAATCCAACAAAAATAGAGGACAGTACAGAGAAAGATATATACACATACATACAGATACAGATACAGATAGAGATATATAATGGCAACATACCAACAAGATATAAATGTTGTTACAACAGACCAAACTACGCAACAACAACAATCACAATCGGAAGAACATTACTTAGGCTTTAATTGGACAATGTTGGCACTGTTTTTGTTGTCATTGTTGGTGATGGTGTCCTTTGTAAATACTACTACACGCAAGACTTCTGTGTCGATTCTGCGCTTCCTGGGCGTAGGTGTCAAGCGTATACCGCGTGTCATAAAGGAGCTGAAACGAAAGGGCTTCCACTTCAGCGGCATGGTCATTCCAATCATCTATCTGCTTGGTCTCAACTACACCAACTTCATCACACGTCGCTTTGCCTATACGCTAATGTCGGGCATCACGCTGGCCTACTTCATTTGGGAGTGTCTGCGTCTCACCGTGCCCGCCGTGCGCGACTTTGCCTTCCGCACCTACGGTGGCATCCTTCGCGAGAAGGAGCGTGACTCATTCAATGGATCACTCTACTACCTTCTGGGATCATCCCTGTGTATCTACTTCTTCACGTAAGTCATTCCAAAGTATCAATCAATCAATCAATCAATCAATCACTGACACTCACTCAATCAATCAATCAATCACTGACACTCACTCAATCAATCAATCAATCAATCAATCAAAATAGTCCATTGATTGCTATCGCCAGCATGTTGTTCTTGATCATTGGAGACTTTTGTGCAGCGGTCATTGGTATCTCTTATGGAAAGACGCGCATATATGGAAAGAAGAGCCTTGAGGGCACAGTGGCAATGTTCATCGTGTGTCTACTTATCAGTCTGGCCATGTTCTGGAGATCGAACCTGTGCGAGCAACTGGCATTCTGGGGTGCACTGTCAGCTGCCCTCGTCGAACTCTTCAATCCATCATTCATAGATGACAACCTCACCATACCATGTATTAGTGGACTGGTAATCCAACTGATCTCAATTAGATTAGGTGCCGAGATACCTGATCACTCACTTACACTCTAAAGAGTGCGTGTGAGCGAGTGATTGGATAGATTGATCATATCAATCAATCAACTTAGAAGAATAGTAATAATAATACCCGATATATGACATCAGCATGTCAAGTTACTTTAGCAGTCAAGGACTGATTGATCGACTTGGTAGCGCGTGAGTGTGCGAGGGCGAAAGGTCACAAACAGCACTTCTAGGACTTCTGTGAGTTTCGCGAAAGTGGTGAGCCAGTCAACGACTCAGTTACATTCATTGCCAATATCAATCAATCATTGTTATACATATATATATTAAATTATGATGACATCAAGTATAACAAAAGGATTGTTATTTAAGGGTGTGTTGTCACCAACTACCAATGTCCCATCATCATCAGCATCATTTGTATCATATATCTATCGACGCGGTCACATGTGCGCCAACACATTCATAGCCAGACCCTCAACCTCAACATCGTCACACTTCATAAGAAGCTATACAACTCAAAGACAACAAGATGAACGACGAGAACAAGAACAACATGATGTAACAATAGTTGAAGAAAAGAAGATGAAGAAGATAGTGGATGATCAAGTTGATGACAATCAGATTATAACAAGATTGGAGGTGGATGGTGCAGAGATCACAGCGAATATTATACAGGGCGATCAGAAGCATGTCACTCCAATCAATCCATTCGAATACTCAGTGCGAACTGTTGACGACGCATTGCATCTGCCAGCGTTACCTCGCAGTGTTGGCCTCGAATCAGTGTACGTGGCTGGCGCCATACATAATCAACTCAAGAAGTCGATGGATGTGCTGCGCTCGCTGACCGAGGCCGGCCGCATGGAGAGCTCGTTCGCGCTGTTCCAGGTGATGGAGCGCTTCTACGTGCCCATCGCGCCCGACTGCTACGCACTCATTCGCAAGCAGATTGAGCGAGCGCTCGTCGAGGTGGCGCAGTTCAACGACGCGATCATGCGCGAGACGCTGAACCCGGGCTCGGTGCCCGACCACGAACTGTACATACCCACGGTCGAGACGATGAACACGGTGCTCAACTACTACACCGAGACGGACCGCCTGCCCCAGGCATTCCGTCTGTTCCTCACGATGCGCATCCTGGACGTCAAGCCCAACCAGCACACATACCGCTCGCTGATCAACGCGTCGATGCGCTACGAGGACATTGAGCTGGCGCTTCTGGCATTCGAGAACATGAGGAATGACGGCATCATCCTCGAGGAGCAGACGTACGAGCGTCTGTTTGAGAGCTGCTGCAACACTGTGCACATCGATGGTGCCGTCGAGCTCTACCACGAGATGCTCAAGAACTTCAGCATACCGACCATCAACAAGTTTGCCTACCTCACTACCCTCGGCGTCACCGGTCTCATGTCCTGGGTACGCATGCCCAAGAGCAGTCGATCAGGTCGTGGATGGGTGACCTCACTCCAAGTATCTCCCAGTCGATACATATTCCCTCCCAAGCATGAGAATCATAAGTATGTCATCGTCGCGACCCATTACTCAATCAATCAATCAATCAATCCACTCACTTACCTCATTCGTTCATTCATTCAATCAATGCTTAGGTTGTTGGAACCATTCATTCCAATTGAGATACAGAATAAACTGATAGGAAGGCAACAGACGAGTGGTGGTGGTGGTGATGGAGATGATAATAGACCATCTGGATTACTTCCATTCGCTTGATCAATCCCATAAACAAAGTAATATATTATTCCAATAACGTTATTATCTTTGGCGCCCTTTTCTTGAATTAAACCAGGAGCTAAAAAGTATCGTTTTTGTGTGAGACAGAGGAATCAGACCTGGTTTTCGCTTGGGTCCAAATATTGTAGTGAACGAACTTCGTTTAATCCAAAAACTGTCATTTGCGAAACAACATTTATTTTCAATTCTTTTTTTCTTTTTCATTCATCACACGAAGCATGTGTCTCAACACTTAAGCATCAGCCTTTCTTTTCGCATCCATTCACACCGCATTGGTATCACGCTCAGAGAGTATGTGTATAATATATTATATCTATTATCGATATCATTCCATCAATCCACATCCATCCATCAACAGCAGCGATCGATTGACATGAAGGATTGATAACGTGAACGAACAAATGAATGGATGAATGAATGAGAATGATTGAATGAATGATATCGATGCAGACAGACAATACATAGGATACAGACATCTAACCATTAAATCTAATCAATCTAACACAGAAAAGTCGACGTTACTCCAAAGACATAATAAGAATGAGTCAATTCCCAGACGTTTTGAACCCACACCAGGACGATATCCTGAAGATGTTGGCTTGCCACACTCACCTTGGTACCACCAACTGTGACAAGAACATGGGCACCTACGTTTGGAAGAGAAAGACCGACGGTGTGCACATCATCAACCTCGCCAAGACCTGGGAGAAGATCCAGTTGGCCGCTCGTGTCATCGTTGCCATCGAGAACCCAAAGGACATTGCCATCATCTCCGCCAAGACCTACGGTCAGCGTGCTGTCTTGAAGTTCGCCAACTTTGTCGGTGCCACCGCCTTCTCTGGTCGTTTCACCCCAGGTACCTTCACTAACCAGATCCAGGCTAAGTTCACCGAGCCACGTCTGCTCATCGTCTGTGACCCAGAGTCCGACCGTCAGCCATTGAACGAGGCTTCCTACGTCAACATCCCAACCATTGCTCTGTGCAACACTGACAGCCATTTGGACGGTGTCGACATTGCCATCCCATGCAACAACCGTGCCAAGAACTCAATTGCCTTGATGTTCTGGTTGTTGGCCCGTGAGGTCTTGCACTTGCGCGGTGCCATCCCACGTGACCAGCCATGGGCCACCAAGGTTGATCTCTTCATCTACCGTGATGCCGATGAGGACGTCGAGAGCCAGAAGGAGAAGTTGGCCGCCGCCGCCATCGTTGCCCCAGCTGCCGTCCCCTTGATCGAGGCTGAGGAGCCAGTTGCTCAAAGCGAGGACTGGAACACTGCTCAATAAATCCAAACCCTAAACATTCGTTATGGTCTTAGACACAATCATATCAATCCCTGTTGCCAATCATGCCAAGCATGTCAGTCATTCATTCCATGACTTGGACGCGACTGCCATGCATCAAAGTTCGAGTTTATTCACTTTTTTTTTTTTCGTCATTCTTTGGATCAATCACTCGACTCGAACTTGCTAAGTTCCCTCTTTCTTTGTTTGATTGATTGAATATAACATTCATACTTACATACATATATATATAGAGAGAGAGAGAGATAGAGATGAACTCATTGTTGTTTGTCAACAGGACTCACCTCCTGTCAAGGTGTAGACAGTTGATCTCAATAACAACACCCCAACAACAACAACAGAGAATAGGTCAGCAACTACTCAATACATCAACAAACAATTCAATAAGATATTATTGCAGTAATAAGCTACATCATCATCATCATGGAATGGGAGTTCATAATAATGAGCAGGAGGAGGATGGACCTGAGTTGGATATGAGCCCACAGGGTATCAGGAACAGAGCTGCCAGCAATGAAATACTTAGACGCCAGGTGAAGGAGTTGGAGGAGGAGGAGAGGAAGCGAGCGACCTACGGCGAGGACGCCGACGAGGAAAATGAGGACGAGGACGAGGACAGAAACGACTACAACGACGACGTGGCCGACGAGCACGAGTTTGACGAGGACTATGAGGACCAGCTGGAGGACTATCACGATGGCGAGGGCGAGGGCGATGGAAGAATGGAGGTGGCACGTCTCCAAGCGCGAAGAAAGCTAAAGGCAGAGGAGGATGAGCTCGACTCGCTCAGCCGTCTCAGTACAAACCTGGACAACCCCATCGACCCAGATACATTGTCGCCTCAGCAGCTGGAGCGCGTCGTCTACGACGCCGAGGGCAAGATCATCCCACCCGAGAAGGTGACAGCACGCGACATCTACCTGCATCTGGTGAGGAAGTACCGTGCGGCCCCAACCAAGGAACACAAACGCGAGGATGCATTCAACGACGTGCTCTTTGACGACGACCAGCGCGACTTGACCCTGCTCCAGAACAGCATGGACAAGGATCACATAAACCACTCCTCGTCCAAGGAGTACAAGCGTATGAAGGAGAGAAACGAACGTCTGCAGCAGCGCGAACTCCTAATGGAGCAGGCCGCCGAGCAGGGTGCCGAGAACATCGAGAAGTACCGTGTCAACCCCCGTCTGGAGGATCTCAGAGCAAAGAAGGCCGCCAAGGCCACCGAGGACAAGTCGTCCAGCGAGTACATGCTCAAGAGACTCGATGAGATGGAGCGTAATGGAGAGTTCTCCGAGCCGGTGACTCGTTCGCCCACCACAGGCAAAGAGGTACTTGGCAACAAGAAGTATCCAAAGTGTTTGTTATGTTATGATTATGGATGGAAGATGACACCAATGGTATGTAGTTATTTATCAATCAATCAATCAATCACACACTCATATACTAACCTTGATCAATCACTCAATTATCAATTCATCATTGGAATCAATCATTCCACTCAATCAATCAATATGATCGATCGCTCAATCAATTCCAATCAATCAAAGAATGTACCATTGCTGAGTGTATATTTGAACAAGGATGGAGATATTCTACCAAGGTACATCACTGGCAACTGTCTGAAGCATCAGAAGAAGATCGCAAGAAAGATCAAGCACGCCAAGCATCTGGGCCTGTTCTCGTACAAGAATGGCAGGTTCACCATATACGATCCCAACGTCGTTCCACCCACCGCCAAGGAGCAGGCCGACTACACCAGATGGTACAACGGTGACTTCACCGACGAGGACTGGTTCGGCAATGAGCCAACCGAGGAGGTGGACACCATGGAGAGTCCAATCGACACCGATAAGGAGAGACAGAAGTACAAGGAGTCGCTCATGCTGGACCTTGGTATCAGCGAGGCCGAGGCCAACCACATCATGGCAGGCAAGTTCTTCAAGATCAAGAGCAAGGAAGGCCAATAAGGAGGACTATCCATCTTTCTTTATGATCATAATAGATAATAATAATAATAAAGCACAATCAATCACTGAAGTTGAATGGCATACTCAGAGGCGGCCACCACAATCTTGTCCATGATGGTGTCGATCAGACCGTTGTTGGCGCGGTTGGCATTGTTGGCAACAATCGAGAAGAACACTGGCCAGTCGGTGTAGGGCAGGCCCTTGGGCGCGATCACTCCAGACAATGCAGAGACGCCAGTCATCGAACCAGTCTTGGCATGCACGATTGATTGGGCGGGAGTGTTGACGAAACGATATTGGAGTGTGCCAGACTCGCCAGCCACTGGCAACAACGTGAAGTAGTCGTGGTTGGGATCGCCCACGTTGAGGAACGCTGCCTCGAGCACCTGGATGATGGCACGTGTCGTGATGAAGTTCTGACGAGAGAGGCCACTTCCATCGACCTGCTCAAACAGGGATGTGTCGACACCCATGTCTTGGAGAGTTTGTTGGACGTAGGCGAGGCCACGTTCGGCCGTGTCTGTGGAGTTGGAGTGAATCGTCTGATTGAAAAAGGCACCAAGTATGCGTAGGAAGCTCTCGGCATACAGGTTGTCACTGGTCTGCAATGTCCAGTTGAGCAGGTCGACCAAATGCTCAGAATGAATGACGTACGAGGGATACATAGTGTCCTCACACTTGCCATACACTGCCTGCGTTGGAGTATTGACACCATTGGATGCTCCGCCCAACATCTGCGAGAATGTCTTCATAAAGTAGTCGGATGGTGTCAAGATGGGAACATAGTACTGCATGCCCTGAGTATGATTGACTGGGATTGAGCCAGTGAAGACCAGATTGGGTGTGCCCAGTGTGTAATCATACTTGAGCGTAGTGAATGAGGACTTGGGTCCCGTGGTGGCCGAGTTTGTTGTGATTGGCATCATGTACTGTGCGTTGAACTGATTGTCATAGGTGATCGATGGCTTTTGTCCAACTGCTGAGCCTGGGTACACTGTGATCACGATGGTGTTCTCATTGACGATCAATGGAGTTGGCAGGGCGCCATACGAGGCAGTCAAGTCCTCCCACTCCCAGCTCTGGGGGATGGGGTCGCCCTCATAGTACGAGACGTCCACGACGAGTTGGTTGATGCCATTGGCGTGAGCGAATGCGTTGGCGGCACTAGTCAAGTCGGCGAATGTGATCGATGGGTCGCCCTGACCGCGGACACAGAGTGTGTTGACAGTCTGGCCAACTTGAAGTGGTGCGTCGGTATAGAATGGCGTTGATATCGTGTATTGTTCGCCCAACGTTAAGAATGTTGCACTGGTTGTGAAGAGCTTTGTGTTTGATGCAGGTGTCAATGCTGTCAACGAGTTCAAACTGTAGACAGACTCTATTGACTTTGTCGATGGGTTATACTGATCGATTGTAATGCCCCATGTCTCGCCAAAGCATTGTCCATCGGAATAGCACTCTGACAATATATTATCAATCAAATTATTAAGTGTTTGATTATTGATGTTATTGTTATTGAATGCATAAGATGTTGTTACATTGTATAATGTGAACATTACAATTATTAATAATACTATCCTCATTTTATATATATATTATATATATATATGTTATCTATTCTTTGAGATGATTATCAATAGTTGATTGACTGATTGATTTGTATGAATGACAGGGATCTAATCTTGTCAAAGATTTCCAAAATATCTAAAAACGAATTGGGTTGAAGCGACAAGATACTTGGGTATCTCGAAATCAGGACAGTCCTTGGCGACAAGTAGTAGATACACAAGGTATCTTTAGAAACAGGAGGCACTGCATTTGAATTATCACAAAGCTACCTCTTTGAACTTCTTATTCATTCAAGTTTGGCTTATTGATATGTTCTTGGATAGGTAAAGTTACTTTCCTTTATCAGAACCATTAATAATTGGTTCCATAATCAAACTACACTAAAACATATAATTAGGAAGATCGATCAACTACGACCTCATAACGTAAACCTCCTCAAGTGATATATTGAGATAGACTTGGAATGAAGAATGATTTCAAATTACACTTGAAAGATAGCTGGTCCCCTTGTGTTGAAGACAAACACTTCACTCATATTATTTGTACATAAATATAGATAGAGATATAAAGATATGAAGATCATATTGACATTACCACCAGATCAACTTAAATACAAGACAATTGTCGTTCAACCAAATGACAAGATTGGTATACTGAGAGCTCATGTTCATAGAAGAGACCTACCTGTATACTTTGTCTATGATGGAAATATGATGGTTGATGGTAACGTAGCACGTCATACATAACATTAATGAATGATCAAAGATAAGTACAATATCCTAACAATCAATCAATCGGTCAATCAATCAAACTACTTTGAATGTATGTAGATAAGTCATTCAAACAGAATGGTATACGTGATGGTGCAACAGTAAAGGCTCAATCTGAGAGGGATATTCCTAAATCAGAACAACAGAGAAAGATTAAGGTTAACTTCTATGTACCCATGAAGGTACCTTATGGTGGCAAAATCGTCGATGTCACAATGCAGTACGAGATCCTATTCTTCCGTGAGCAACCTATATCAGATGTCAAGGAATCGTATGTTGTTGTTGTGTACATTGTACATTGTACATTCGTTCATTGATATACATACATACACATACTAATCAATCTCAACTATATCAACTCTATCTAATCTATTTAGATTGATGAATGCATCAGGTTACGATCCAAAAGATATCATTGTGTCGAGGAAGGGAGTTGTACTTAGAAACGAACAGACATTGAAGGAGATTGGTGTTGTGCATATGGAGGAATTACAGTTCGCCACTGTTCCAGGTGCCGTACCAGGCCCAATCAAAATGGCTATTCCAGGTCTAACTCATTGATCAATGAGTTCATCACTGACTTTTGATCATTCATTCGTTCATTCATTCATTCGATCAGTCAGTCAGTCAGTCATTCGGTCAGTCATTCAGTGTGCTTTGACTTCAAATTGGACTTCAGTTGGCGTCAGTTCACAAAAGATACAGATAATAATAAGAACAACAACCAAGCATTGTTGGATTACCATGACCATGATCACATTGTCATATAACAAAGCTTCAAAGACTCTCTCAAAAAGTGTGATTTAATAAGAGGATACTTCCAGTATACTTTGTCTATGATAGTAGAATGTTAGAAGATGGTAATGTATAGCATATTTATATCTATATCATCTTCAATCAATCATTGATCTAACATCAACTTCAACTTCAACTTCAACTTCAACATCAATTTCAATGAATGTAGAAAAGACATTCAAACAGAATGGTGTACTTGATTTAGAGGATGGTATCATTATAAAGACACAGACTGAGAAGGATATTCCTAAATCAGAACAACAGAGAAAGATAAAGGTCAACTTCTATTTAGAACTTGTATTACCAAAGCATGGTAAATGCAATGTACAGAATGAGATACTATTCTTCCCCGAGCAACCAATATCCGATGTCAAGAAAGCGTAAGTATTATTAATATACATCATCCTGATAATGATAATCAACTTATATCAATCAATCAATTTAGATTGAGTCATGTAGTTGGATATGAACCCAAGGATATAATTATATTAAAGAATAGAGTTGTACTTCGAGATGATAAATCATTGAAGGACAGTGGCATTGTTGATAATGATGCTCTGGAACATAAGATAGTGCCTGGTGCTGCATCAATCCCAACTAGATTCTCAATTCCAGGTCTAACTCATTGACCCAAGTTGCCAACAATACGGCACACTCTGGCGCTTCAACTTTTGGAAATAATGATGAATGTTGGACAACTTGAGTCCTTCACGACATCATTTCAACTTCAAGTTCACTTCACAACATAGATAGATAGAGATAATAACAATGTTGGATCAATTACCAATTTATACACAAAGGAATATATTATTTAGTTTATTATCTGACGACAATGATGATGAGAAGAACAAAAAGATGATGTATTATGTCGATGATGAGAAACAGTATGATATTAATAATGTCATTGTGTTGCATAGGAATAGCCAGAACTTGATATGTCAGTTGGGCATGGTGTGTAAACGATGGGCACGTAATCTATTGCCTAGAATCACTAGGTACTTTGATATCATGTTGATGAATGATCATAGTGTCAACAACTTACTACGTATCGCTCAGCTCGGACTTGGCCTTGGCAACGTTGTCAATTCAATGATCATCAATCAAGTGTACTTTGAGCGAGTCAACTTCAACACAAAGCTCAACATTGAGTTCCTCTGCAATGATGTTCGCATCAACAATGTGACCTTCAATCAGTGCCAGTTCACATCGAATGACATCTTCTCATTGTTGGCCAATCCTCATCTCCAATCCATTCAATTCAAGCGCATCACTCTGATCAACTTACAATCAATCGTGCAGTACATCACGCAATGTCCAAGACGCGAGACACCTTTGTCGTTCTCAATCACACAGTTCACATTGCATCAGTCAAAGAAGAGTGAGAGCCTGTCTGAGCTCATCGCTGCGCTCTCTCATCCATCGGCTCAGTTGGGACACATCGAGGTCGTGCCAAAGGAGTTTACCAAAGTGTCCATCATAGAGTTGTTTGGTCTATTCACGCAGGAACGCCTGCCCTCCTGCCACTTGCTCAGTGTTCATCTCCAGGCGATGGAATTGGTCGGTAGCTTGACGGAGAAAAACTTTGTGAACCGGACCGTGGCCAGTCAGATCACAACATTGAGATTCAATCACATTAGAATGACACCAGACCAGAAGAATCAGGTGCTTCACACCTTTGACCAACACTTTACCAATGTCAAGCACTTGGAGTTGCTTGGTCTAGCCTGCACCACGCCCAAGTCATTCGAGTTGCTTGTCAAGTATCTTGGCGCCATCATATCCTTGGAGTATCTCGACATGTCGATCGCAAAGTTTACCGAGAGTGACGTGCCCGCACTCGCCACAGCCATTACCCAACTCCACCAACTGACTGAACTCAAACTGAACTACAGCTCACTGAACATTGTCAACTCACTCAAGGTATCGCAGTCACAATCATTGACAAATCTTTCATTATCAGCATATTACAATGGATTCTTGAATGATACGAGCGCATTGTATCTTCGACCCAACAGTCTTTGCACTCTCACCCTCGTGTCAACATCGTTTGGACCGGCATTGGATCCCCTCCCTGGCGCAATGAAGACATTGCTCCAATCATGTAGATTGCTCACAACACTTGATTTGAGACAGGAGCTTGGCAACAGTGCCACGCAAGAGTTCTTTGAGCAGCTTGCTCATCACACCTCGCTCTCTTCCCTCACAATGGTGCTCGACAATACATCCTTTACAAAGGAGAACTACGACTTTATAATCAGCCAACTGTTGCTCAATGAAACACTCAACACAGTGAGTCTTGTGGGATACAAGATCAATGACTTAACAGTGCAGTTGGGTGCAGTGGCATTGTTGGAAACGATCAATGCTCGTCCATCCATCAGATCAATCATACTGGACATTGATGTAGCTGGTGCCACACTCACATCGATCAATGGATTCATTCAGAAATCAAACAAACTGCATACACTCACTGTCAACTCGAGAGAAGTGACGAGCAGCCAGGCACTCGAGGAAATGATCGGCGCGATGCGCCAGTCCAAGTCGCTTCGTTACAGCGAGATCCAAGGTACGCCCAGCGCCATACTCAAACATCTACGATCACATGTCCAGACATTGATCGTTGGGGAATCCACCGATCATGCGAAACAAGCAGTCTTTGATGTATCCACAGCGGCACACTATCAATTGGTGCCAAAGACATTCAATCAATCTAGAGTCATTCATTTGATGCTACATTAATAAAGTCGGCTAGTTTACTCTATTCTTGCTTGCCCATCTCCTCGAATATCTTTGTGAACATCTTCATCTCATCCACCTTGTTCTTCTGGATGTCATGTGTGATTGTCTTTTTGAGTTGCGTTGCCTTAGGGTCGGGCGTTGTGGCCCCACCGTATGCAAGGGACTTGTCAATGTTCTCCAGTGCCAAGTCCAGCGTGCCCAGCTGATAATAGCCTCTGGCTATCCAGTAGTACATCTTGGGATTGTCGTCGGCGAAGTCCAGTCCCATGAGACCGTAGTCGCGCACTCTGTCCCACACGGGCGGGCTCATGCTCGCGTAGCACACAGCAAGATTGACGCAAATCGATGCGCCATGTTCGTGTATCTCTTGCCATTCGTCCTCTGTCACGTTGCCCAGTGTGTGAAGTGAGAGGTACTTGAGGGCGTTCTTGTAGACCTTGAGACAACGGCCATAGTGGTGGTTGATGAATGATCTCTTGCCCTCATCGCGTAACTCTTTCAGTTGATTGAGACGGTCCCTCACGGGCATTGTATCAATGATGAGCTGGTCCGGCGTTGACTTGTACTGAATGGTGACATTCTCGATGTGATAGACCAATGTTTGATTGGGTGGGATGAGTGGTGGAGCACCTCGCTCTCCATACGCGTACTCTGGAGGTACCACCACCAAACACTTCTCCTTCTCCTTCATATTGAATAAAGCCAGTTCCAAGCCTCTTGTCAGACTACTGACACCAATCTCAAAGTACTCTGTCTTGTTTGTCTCGTCTATCAAAGTGCCGTCCAACAAGTGTGTCGAGTACTTGACTGTTGTTGTAGTGATGGAGATGGAGGGGAAGGAGAAGTGTTAGACGGGTGTCTTGTCTGTCGAGTTGTTGGATGATGTCATGCGTACTTGCAACTTTTGATGCGAACTGGGGATAGTCCTTTCGACCTTCTTGTATGATGAACTTCTTGCACAGCTCGTCCTTGGAGAGGTTGACGATGGTACATGATCGCGGAAGTTTGAACTTGTCGAATATAACAATATAGTCATTGTTTGATTCATCCACCACTGGTGCTGGAGTCTGTTCAGTCTGTTGCTGTTCAGTCTGCTGTTGTTCCTTATTCACATGCACATACTCATCCTGCACCATCTGTTGTTGTTGTTGTTGTGGTTGTTGTTGCCTCTTCTCATTGGCAATCTTCTTTTCCTCGTTGTACTTGTCTTGTGCCTCTTGAAGCTCATCAAAGCTGTGCTCATCATAGTTGAATGGTGTTCCATTGAGCATTGCCTGTTGTCTCTTGCAAAAGTATATCAGTACCTTGTGGGCAAGGTTTGCCTGTGCCTTCTTGAGCTGAGGGTAGATGCCACTGGCCATTGTCCTCGTTGGAGTTGATCCAGGAATATTATATATACAGGCGTAAGGACCAGCCGAAGCCATCTCAATCTTTACAGGATTGAAGCTTTTCCCACCCCCACATGTAGAGTAATATTCATGGACAATGGCTAATGGTGACTTGTCATATATCCATGTCTTGAGTATGAGTTTGAGATTGAATGATTGGAATGATGCCATATGAGGGGAAGGGATGAGTAAGTTTGTGCGATCATACAATTGATTGATTGACTCACTTACATCATCAATGTATGTAAAGTCATTGGGATTGAGTATGGTTGAGATGAGGTCGGTGGAACAGCGAAGGTTGTTCTTGAAGTCAAAGATGGACTCGCTGGAGAGGATGTGTTGGACTCGATCAAACTGCTCACATGTAAGGTCGTGATAGTCGGACAACTCATTGGCATTGTCCAACGTCCTATAGACAATCATACAATGACCCATCAATGGCTTCCTCGGTCTGATCACACTCCATGCTCTATCATTCACCAAGAAGTTATATCTCTCATCTGGTCTGCTTCCAAACTCCTGAATGATCACAAAAGATTCATCTTGTTTACTAATATATCTCCTTGATACACTTTCACAACTCATCATTATTCTTGCACTATGTTTGATTGATTGAATGAGTGATTGATTGATTGAGTGAGTGAGTGAGCGAATTAGAGCGAGTCAGTTGATCGATCGATCGACAAACCTTTGTTCTATCTCCATATGATGTATATATACTTCTTGTGTTTTGTGATCTGATTGGTAGGGTATAAAGATGGCTTTGAAGTAATTCTTGTCCTTCTTCACGCGGAATTGTTCCAACAGAGGGAGATAGTTCTCAACACATATTATTGGCAATTGTTCATCACCTCCTCCAACTCCTGCTCCTACTCCTGTGTTGGGATCATCCTTGTTATCTATTATTGTTGTTGTTGTCGTTAACATTAAACAATTTAGTGTATCTGTATCTATATGTTTCAATTTCAAACAATCTGAACCTCATGGGACACCGAACTCTGCATTTGGATTCAGTGCAAATTTCAGAATAATTTACATTTCTTTTCATTTTAATTAAATTAATACACCACACCAAAGAACAAAGAATCAGACACCCATTCCCATTTATTGCATGCTGCACCATATTACTTCTACAAAGAACAAAGAACAAGGAGGCAACCATGCTTATATCGTTACCAGTCTATGTAACAAGAATAATTGTTTCATATCTCAACGATGTTGATGCATATTGCTTTCTCTTAGTAAGCAGAAATATCTTCTTCCAACAAAAGAGCATCGCACTATCATTGAAGAATCACCTAGAATGCGGGATAATAACAAAGATGTATTATGCACAGTTCAACAAACCTCTTCATGTTGGATTCGTTCCACATTCAGTGACACATTTATCATTTGACAAGTTTAATAAGCCTCTTGGAGATGGGCATGGCACGGCTATCATTAGAATACTTCAACCAACCACTTCAGATCGGAAATATTCCACAATCTGTGACGCGTCTATTATTGGGACACTTCAGACAACCACTTCAAGTTGGACACATTCCACAGTATGTGACACATCTATCACTTTCAGCTTTCAATCAACCACTTCAAGTTGGACACATTCCACAGTCTGTGAAACATCTATCATTTTCAGCTTTCAATCAACCACTTCAAGTTGGACACATTCCACAATCAGTGACACATCTATTATTGGCACACTTCAATCAACCACTTCAAGTTGGACACATTCCACAGTCTGTGACACTTCTATCACTTTCAGATTTCGATCAACCACTTCAAGTTGGACACATTCCACCGACTGTGAAACATCTATCATTTTCAGTTTTCAATCAACCACTTCAAGTTGGACATATTCCACAGTCTGTAACACATCTATCAATGAATTGTTATGGACGAGAAGGCCCTGCTCTTCTTCATGTAGGAGATATTCCACAGTCGGTTACAAGTTTATCTTTGAGGGATTACAGCCAGCCGCTTCAGATTGGACACATTCCTCAGTCTGTGACACACTTGTCATTTCAATGCTATGATCATCCGCTTCAGATTGGACACATTCCTCAGTCTGTGACACACTTGTCATTTCAATGCTATGATCAACCACTTCAAGTTGGACATATTCCTCAGTCTGTGACACAACTATCATTGGATTATTTTAATCATCCGCTTCAGATTGGACACATTCCTCAGTCTGTGACACACTTGTTATTTCATTGCTATGATCAACCTCTTCAAGTTGGACATATTCCTCAGTCTGTAACACAGCTATCATTGGAATGCTATGATCAACCGCTTCAGATTGGACATATTCCTCAGTCTGTGACACAACTGTCGTTGGATAGTCTCAGGCAACCACTTCAAATTGGACACATTCCACAATCAGTGACACATCTATCATTTTCAGCTTTCAATCAACCACTTCAAGTTGGACACATTCCACAGTCTGTGATACATATAGCGTTTGGTGATAGCTTCAATCAAACTCTCACACCTGGGCATATTCCATCAGCTTCCTCACTGTCCATTGCATTTGCGCAATTCATATCCTCTAAGAATTGTTTGTTTGAACACAAAAAAAGGAAGAACAGTATCATACTCCCCACCAAAATGAGCAGAATTTCCCATCTTATCACACAAATCATTTCAAAATACCCCCCATACAAAACACTACACCAGAATGATGACGACGTTCTTTTCTATCTTTTGCACGCACTCGAGCGTATTCAAACAATAACCGTGCAATTTCACACCTACCAACAATCTGATTTTCATGAAGACAGTATCTGGAGGCGAATTGACGACAAAGTAGCTCTGGTGGTTCATGACAAAAAAGCATCATTTTGGACATTCTAGTGGCAGATATGCTGTGACCAATCAATCAATTACATTTTATCAATCATGTTTGGTTCCAGTGTGGAATTTATTGATTTCCATATTTGTTATCGACCTTAAAGACGCCAAAAAGTGGTAGTTGCAATCGTCAGGACATGGTCGTTGTCATGGTCATGGTCATGGTCAAGGTCATGGTCATGGTCATGGTCAGGTCGTGATCGTCGTGTTCATGGTTAACTCAAAATGTTTGATTACCCACCAGGGGTAACTTGAATTAATTTAATAAAAAACATATGGCATCCTGAGGTGAGGAAGGCCTCACCTATCGCAGTTTAAGCAGGAAGCACGATCTAAAGCAAGACAACGCCGATCAAAGACTTGAGTTCGCATTGGCTCATCGAGACTGGACGGTTGAGCAATGGGAGGAGATAGTATTCTGTGATGAGACCACAATTGAGTCCAACTTCAAGAACTATCGTCAGTACGAGTGGGCCAGACAAGATAACAATACATTCAGCCGTGTTCATGGCATAAGGAGGCTTCCCGGATCCAAGGTCAACCTATGGGGTTGTGTCACCAGTGCTGGAGTGGGATTACTGTCAGAGATCGAAGGCAATTTAGAACAAGCTCAATACACGGAGATAATTGACAACGCATACACTGATTCCATCCATCATTATCATGGTCAGCTCCCCAATTTCACACTGGCGATGGACAACTGTCCAATTCACAGAGCTACCAGTGTCACCACTCACTTGAGGAGGAGGAGGATTCCAACCTTATTCATTCCTCCCTATTCACCAGACATCAACATCATAGAGAATCTTTGGGCGATCTTGAAGAAGAGAGTAAAGAGAGAGCTTGCAAAGGCCTCTAGAACAGACTTCTCGGACCTTGCAACCGAACAATGGGAGGATATTGATGACCGCATTGTTGAGAACCTCTATGCATCATTGCCTCAACGAATGGAGGATATCATAGCAGCTGATGGATGGTGGACCAAGTATTGACAATTGCCAATGCCACCAAGAATGTTCTTCGTTGGAACATAGTCAATCAAAATTCATTTCATATATAATGGCCATGTTCATTACTTTTTATTTCAACACAATCAATCAATTATTTGTAAATAAATACAGCCAACAATTATTAATTAAATATTATTTTGTTGATCTATTACTCTATTACTTAGAGACAATAAATCGTAAATATAAACCTTAATTTTGAAGAGATATAGTTTATCTATCAGTTCGATCAGGGGGTGTCCATAAATTATGAAATATACTGTATTGGTTCATTGTCAAAAGAACCTCGCCAGCTTTCAGAATTGATGAAATGCCAGTGTGATCAACAGGAATTGCTTCGCCAGTTGCCCAACATATAACGAATGATTGAGTGGCAGTGGTAGTGGACATTGTATTCATGCCATAGAAGGTGATCTTGGGTGGTGAGGCTTGGGACATGAAGTTGGGCGCCGTGAAATCAAACCTTATAGGGGACAAAATGGTCCGATAGTCGGTATAGTTTTGATGTCCCGTGTGTGTTCCATTCATCAAAGTCTGCATACGAGGGGTGTATTCGTCGAGGTTTGGAAATTTAGGTATGATACTAAGTGGAGGATCATCGTTTGGAACTTCATATTCTTGTGAGGAGGTGGGAAAACTGCATTCAATGATTGACCCATCTGGGTTTGTGAATGAATATTGAAGTAGTTTTTGGAAAGATTGAGAAACATTGTTCTGGTCATTCCACTCGACCAAAATGCTTTGGTTTCCATTTGTGTCGGAAGGAGCACCATTGAGATATGCAATGAGAGAATAGTGGAAGGTGTTTGGCAGTGACTCATCAGYGGCATTGTTCAAATTGTTCATTTGGTAGTAGATCKCCTCCATCTTTGTCCAAAGATCTTTGACAGGGACGGACTTGCCATTGACGTGACCAGGTGATGGAGTTATAATAGTCCATTCCGCAGGAATAATATTCCTGATGGGTGCCAATTTGTAGTCATAGGGTATTGGCATAACATCAATAGTCGATGACCAAAGTCCGAAGGTGACAGCACTTTGGCTTTCGGAGGGAGCAAACGATGCCGGAAAACCACCATAAGTGATGATGTTTGATGTTGTTGATTTGGCCTGATGGTTGTTCATTTGACTCTGATCGATTGATGACGAGGAGTCTACCTTGACTCCCAATGTACGATGTGTGAAAGTAGTTTCTTTGGCCAATCTGAACAGGTTCAAAATATATATATATGCCAGGCAGATCGGAGCCACCAACACCATTTTTAACTGGGTTTGTTTTTGTGCCAGGTCTCTTCTTTGTAGTGCACTCCCAACCTGGGGGCACCAACACCAAATCATTTGAAGTGCAGTAGAGTGCAGAGTAGTACTTTGGGGTCAACGAAGTTGTAGAGTTGATTGAAAGTAATACAAGGCATATTAAAAATAATAGATGGTGGTTGAAATAGTAGCAATAGTACATCTTCAATTGGTTGGGTGACATAAAGAAAATGACCTCCACATTCGAAGCTGCGGACCCACCAACAAAAAACAAAAAGATTGTATTGTCCAGTTAGTTCAAGTCGTTGTGTATTTAATTTCATTTCGATTATTTGGAATTTTTCAAATTAATTTGGAAGTTCACTCATATGGTAGGGTGATCGAGGCTTTCATTCATTCATTCATTCATTCATTCAATGATATTGGATGTTTCAAGTGAGGTAATGGATAATAGATATTGATTGAAATAGCTTTGCTTTACGGGCACTGTTTATTATCTATTGTAGCACTTGTGACACCAGTTGAGTATTGTAGTAGGATCGCTAGAATACTTGTTGAACGCGTTTTTGATTGTGTCGAGGAAGGATGCAGTTCTGTTCTTATCTCGGCACTCTCTCTTCATCATCGCGAACAACAGTTCGATGATGTTGAGCTCAGGGCTATAGGTTGGCAAGAACACCAACTTGACATTGATCAAATCAAGCATCTCCTGGATGAGAGGGAGGCGGTCCCTCTGTGTGTGGATACTGGCATTGTCGAGCACGATGTAGGTATTGGGTCGGATGTAGTCAGCCTCCATGGCATTGATGATGAATGAGCAGAAGGTGATGCTGTTGTTGGTGTCACCCTCAGTATGGTCCTTCATCCTCGCGTAGGATCCGTGGTGGATTGAGATCATGGCCATCAACGAGAAGGACTCCCTGAAGGACTCTC